TAGCACCACATTCAAATTGGGCATGGTGAAACACACCATGAAACATCCCAGTGTTTGGGAGGTGAAGGAAGGAATATCTAAAGTTTAAGGTTATTCTCATCTAAAGAAAGCTTGAGGTCAACTAAGGCTACATGAGACCCAGTCTCAAAACCAAATCAAATCAAATCACCCCCACAGCACAATCTATTTGTAGGTGAAAGGTCCCCAAATTAGCAACAGTCATTTCTTCGAAGATCTAGTAGAGGCTCCTTATGCCATCCATAAGGGTGGGTGTAGTGACATAGGCTGTTGTGTACTTTCTTCTGGACATGTAGGGCATGCCACATAAATTCTGGCTCATCAAAATGTGACCCCATCTTGGAGTACCCATATGGTCTTATGAACCATTTTATCAAACACACACACATAAGGACTATAGTACACTTCCTTGCTATGTACAAGTAACATGCAAGATCAAGTACTTACTCAAACAACTAGCCTGCTCTATGCAGGGTGATAAGGTTAACCTTAAGTGCATTCTCCTTTATTTGCAACACTGCTGATGGATGGGGCCCGAGTCCCTGATTTCCCTAATATTCCAGCTCAGGAGATACAGGCTCTAAATGGGAAACAAGTTGACTCAGGTGAAAGGGCCCTGTAGCTATCTACACAGGTATTCCAGAGAGAGGCGGGATTGGGCACTCAGCACTCAGAGACAGTGCCACCCTAGGCTAATCCCAGAAAGCATCTTCAAGGCCTGGCTCATCATCTCACAGTGCCAGGTGGCAAAGCTCCCTGGGCCTTCCCTGACCAACTGTCTTCCCAAAGAACAAATCAGATGAGATGGAAGAACCTGCTGGATCATGCCCTCTTCTAGGTTCCCCACAGAAATGTTTATACTTGGACCTTTCTTCTCATGCCTCCTAAGTCACTATTTGCCCCATTCTCTGGGCATCTACCTATTCCACCTGAAGAATGTTTCTATCTCTTTCTGTATCTATACCACCATAAGCAACACACACACACACACACACAACCCCAGCATGTGTTAGTTACAGAGAGCTTGTGTCTGACCTGCACCATGACCAAGGAGGGCTGTTGCTGCAGGCTCCCTTAGAGGTGTTAGAAGTCTCAAGCACTCAGTGATCTTTTCCTCACCTCTGGCTCCCATTCTTGTTCACAGCAGCAGATCATGTCAAAGGCCAGGGCGCTACAGTGGAGTTGGGGGAAAATCTGGATGAACCATGGACCCTGCTTGGATTCAGACTGTCCTAGATATGCTTCAGAGCCTCAGAGCTAAGGCTGTGTGCTCCCCCACCCCACTGTGCTCCTCATTTCTGAGGATCATGGACAAGCTTATGGGCTCTGGCTTCATTTAGACATATGAAGGCCATGATAGCTATGTCTTTAGAGAGGTGAATGCTTGTGACTCTCTTCTAGAGGTCATCTGGTCACCCGGGAATTCTTGGTGTCTTGGCTGAGGAGATGGTGCCACAAGAAAGCAGAAGTGGGAACACAGAATCCAGTTCTTGGTTACTCCGGCTCCACAGAGCCTTCAAAATAGCACCTAGGCCAGGTGCTCAGTTAGTGCTGCCTTACAGGCAGCTTGGTACTGCCATCTCCCTTTCTCAGAGGAGACCTGAGTGAGGACTGGTCCTTGTTAGCAGCTTCTCTTCCCCCAAACACTGGCCACAGAGCTTTCCGGCAGGCGTGATACCACACAGAGAGCCTGCCTGCCCTGGAGTCCTTTGCAGTCAGACGTCCTTGGTTAATACAGGCATAAGGTGGCTTTTGAACTTTAACCATGATCACCATATCCTGTCCTTGTTTCGTTTCTGTGACAGCAGGCATCAGATCTCTTGGTTGGTGACCACACTTCCCCCACTAAACACTCTGGCCACAAAGCCCTGGTTCTGAAGCGATTGCTGGCAAACAGACTCTGAGGGTAGGTTTCAGATCATTTCGTGTAATCTGGGTACCTGTAGGAGGCTTTTTTTTTTTTTTAAGAAGCGGCTACAAGTTGAAGATACTGAGAAACATGTGAACACAGAAGATACGTACATCCCAGGCTGACATCAACATCAGCAACATCACCTATCTCCACAGGAGGTTTCTGGCTCAGGCCTTGTCTCCAATTGCCTTTCTTAAGGAGGGGTAGAGTCTAGGCTCTCCCAAACAGCTAAAGGAGCTCATTTAGAGGCTGCACTGTACGGCCACAGGGCCTGGAGCTTAAGTTCTTCACCCTGAACAGCCCGTATATCTCGTACCGAGAGAGGAGGCCAGACTGTGGAGACTTTGGCTGTATGTGAGCTGGGCAGAGGCCAAAGGAGCCAACTACCTATCACCTCAGTTCCAAGAACAACTGGAAATCTGGGTAGTGGTGTATAGGACACAGAGGGAGAAAGGTTGTGAAGGACATCTATCTGCTACAGGTGAGGGCTGTGTTCCTGCTAATTATCACCGATCAAGATAAGACAGGAATGGGGGAAAGGCAGCTGCCAACAGGAGATCCTGTTAGGTTTCCCTGGAGACTTTTCCTTGTTCTACCATTTCCAGGAAGGGTCAAAGCTTAATTCCTCTTTCATGACTTTGTTCCTCAGATTGCGTACCTTTCCCTCTAAGTTTCTTGTGAGGGTACTGGTGCAAGTGTAGGGCTTTCTTTCCCATACTTTATCAGACTCTTGGTGTCTTGGAATGCTAAGGGAAAGCTACCATACATGCTAACACACTAGAGTGTAGAAAGGTGTTTCTTCATTCACACAGGTGAGATACAGGGACCACAGGTTCCCACCAGTCAACCCCAGATCTGTGTTGGTGGCTGCAGGCCAGCATACTGGCAGTTTTCTTTCTCTGGAACAGTTCCTGATTTCCCAAGACCAAAAACTACGCATACTGGTCAGCAGTCTAGAAGCTTTTTGTTTCTGTTCCTACCAGGAAAGAGGAAGGTGAAAGATGAGGGAGGAAGCATTATGCTGGTTACAGATGTTTGTGCCAAAACGCTTTCAAATCAATGGCATCCTTCTGAGTTCTCACCATGCAGCTTTCCAAGTACCAAGGACAGAATATAGTTTATTGCTAATGGAAGAAAAGACATCTTGGGGACCACTGGGTCATGGTGGTCAGGGTGAACACTGATGATTACTGACCAGTACGTGTCAGAGAAGTGTTTAAGGAAGGAGAGGATTGGTCCAGAGTCACAGGAGCAACAGTGAATAGGAGCCATCTTAGGTCTGACAAAGAGGGTTTGTCCATGAGCTGAATTCAGTGACTTTAGTAAGAGTACACACAAGTGTAGCGATATACTTAAGCCTAAAATCTAGGCTAACAGTCTCATGAAGATTTAAGTTCAGCCCTGCCATGTGGCAGAAATTGACATGATAAAGGTAACAGTTAATTCCTGGTTCTGTTTTAGATTCTGAGCAGGAGACAGAGATCTCACTGTGAGTAAGCAATTTTGAGACTGTATTTGCTACTTTTCTCATTGATATTATAAAATATCTGACAGGAACAACTTAAGAAAAGATTTATTTTGGCTCAGAGAGTATTAGTCCATCATAGCAGGGAAGGCATGGCAGAACAGCTCCATTTAGACTTATTTATATGACATTGGGCTTGGAAGCAGAGAACTCATGCTGGAACTTTCAAAGGCTCGTCCTTAGTAATTTCTCTGACCTATACTTCCACCAGTCAGGCTACACCTTCTAAATGATCCATAGCCTTCAAAATAGTGCCACAAGTCTAGGATGAAAAATTGTGAACAAACTTGCCAGGGACATTAGATTCAAAACATAACATTTAGTCCTTGACCCCCTTGGGTCAAGATGGCTCACTGCCATCTCACAATATAAAATCTACTTAGTTCAGCTTCAAAGTTCAAAGTCCCTTTTGAGAATTAAAGGTATGCTCAATAGTGAGACCCTGTAAAGTCAAAATTTAAATTATATACTTTTAATATATAAACATTTCCATTCTAAAAAGGCAGTATGAGGGTAGAACAAAGAAAGACATGACAAATTAACAGTGAAAACGTTAAGTCTGAGTTTCATGTCTGGCACGAGGAACACATTTGATGTTAGCCCTACCTTTATGGGCCTTCTTGCCAGTTACACTTACAGGGTCTCTTTTGGACTGGTTCTACTAGGTGCCTGTAGCTTTCCTTGGTAAATGTTCTACATTCCTGGTATCTCTAATACATTGGAGTCTCCACTGTAATTTAGGCTTTACCCTCAAATTTTTATGCATAGCCCACTAATGGACTACCAGAGAATCCGACTCTACTACATATTGCTTGGCCTCCCAGACTGTTCTCTAGGTATAAACCTATCTTGGTGCAAACCTCCATGACCTGCAACTCTTAGGTTCTGCAATGCCTACAAAGACAGCACCATGTGGATAATGTCAAATTCTGCTGCCAGCTTGATGAGTACCAAGTATTATCTTATCCAAGGTCAGTATTCTTGGATCACAGCTGAAGTAATGGAGTGTCTGTGTAGCTAAACCTGGAAAAATACTTTCTAGGTGATTATTTCAGAGAAGACCACTCCTGTGGCTTCATCTTTTCAGACATTCTCTTTTTAAAGGAAAGTAAAATGCATTTAGATTTTCATATTCTGAAGCCTTTAATGAGAGGGCTCTTTCCCCTAAAGTCCCCTTTCCCCCTACTGTAACAATGTAAAGCAGCTATAAATGGTATTAATTTTAACAGTTTTAACTACTTTGTCCACAGTTACTGTGGTCTCTTGCTGTGGCAGCCTGAGCTGACTAATATAGTGGCCTTAGTGAAGATGCTGAATCAGTGCACCACACACACTTCCCAGAACTTTCTGGTACAGTGCCTTCCTGAATGTTTCCTAAGCACTGTCACTTTTTAAGAGCCACCTGACTCTGAACACCGTTCTGAGGCATCCTCCCTTGGTAGAGACAGTTGATCCTGCTTCTAGCACCTTATTTTCCTTTGATGAGAAAGTACAAAGGACAGGTACTTAATGAGTACTTAGGAAATGGAGGTAACATCTACTCACTGTTCAGCCATATTTGGGTCCAATGAATCAGTTTCGGTGGGTGTTTCAGGCAAGGAGGAGCCAGATTCTTGAATCTGGCACAATTCCTCATCAGTGATGATGTCAAACACAGCATCGTCTGGTGGTCTGCAGACTGAGTTTGCTCCTGGGTGGTGGAGGCAAAGCAGGAGAGAAAAAGACAAACATGCCATTAGGCATACGACTAGGGATAACACAGGGAAGTAAGGGGTGCTGCTATGGAGAACAAGACGGAATACACTTTAAATGGCCTCTAACTGGCGCTATTCTATCTAGGTATGAGAGAAGGACTACTGGAACATTCCAGGAAAACAGAGGGAGTACAGAAGATTTTGAATAGATAGTCTCAAGACCTCTTTCAACGGCAGAGTAGAAGTTTCAAGGACTACCACATTCTCTAGAATCTTTATTTAGAAAGAAAAAAAAATCTGTCAAAACTATATCAGATAAGAAACTAACAAAGAAAATCTACTGATCCAGTGCAGTGAGGCCTTGCTCCATTAAACACAATAAGAAATAATCTGAAACAGGAGATTACTTGATTCATACCCCCTCTTTTGGTCCACTGTTGGGCAGAACAGAACCTCTCTTTGTTCAGAAAACTGCAGGAGGCATTGAGTGTTGTGTTTGACCTTGACCACTCAACTGGCAGGAACTGTGCCAGTCACCTACCCATAAACATGTTTCATATTTAATATAAGGGTAGGTCTGAGGCAGAAAAAAATAAGAGCAGACAGAAAATGAGAGAAATCAAAACAAGCAACCTCAGCACACTAACACTGTTATCACTTGGTGTGTTGAACACCTACCACTGAGATAGGGCAAGGGAATCTGGCTACTTAGAAGACCAGTTTAGCTGTCCTCGGCTTTAGAGGTAATGTTTTTCCTCTCAAGTTTCTGTAACAAAAAACGAGAAGAACAAACTGACAAAAAGGACCCAGTTACACTCCTAAATCTGTTTTCTGAGGCTGATAAAGAGATGGGAAATGGGCAAGAGATACACAAGACAATGTTTACCAGAGTAAATGGAAGTCATATCATGTTCATAGATTAAATGGACAACACTTTATTAAGCTGTCAAATCTCAGACAGGTAGTGGTGGTGCACACCTTTAATCTAAGCACTTGGGAAGCAGAGGTAGGTGGATCTATGTGAGTTTGAGGCCAGCCTGGTCTACAGAGCGAGTGCCAGGACAGGCTCCAAAGCTAAACAGAGAAACCCTGTCTCGAAAACAAACAAACAAACAAAAAGATATTAAATCTCTCCAAATTGCTCTCCAGATCCAATGAAATCTCAATGAAAACCTCATCATGGTTTATTTTTAGAAACTGAGAAACTCATTCTATAATTTATATGTTCGATGAAGAACAAAATTGGAGAGCTTTCTTTGCCTGTCAGTCAGATGCATTAAGAATCTATTGTAAATAGCTAGACATGGTAGCATACATCTTTCATCCCAGTACTCGGGAGGCAGAGGCAAACTCACCTCTGTGAGGTCAAAGCCAGCTTGGTGTACAGAGTGAGTTCCAAGATAGCCAGGACTGTTTCATAGAGAATCCTGTCTCAAAAAGCCAAAACCAAACAAACAACCTACCCCCGCCCCCACAACCCAACAACAACAAAAGATTCTATGGTAACCAACTGGACATGGTGGCACATGTCTTTAATTCCAGTACTTCGGAGGCAGAGGCAGGTGGATTTCTGTGAGTTTGAAGCCACTTGGTCTACATAATGGGTTCCAGGACAACCAGGGTTATATAGAGAAATCAATTCTGTCTCAAACAACCAAAAATACTAAAAACCAAACAACACCACCAAAAAAACATAGTATCTATGGTAATCATACAGTAAGAATTGGTGGAAAGAAAAGGCACATAGATGAACAGAAAGGAGCAAAGTCTAGATACAGACTCAAATATATGAGGTCAGTTTTTTGGTTTTTAGTTTGCTTGCTATTTTCAATTGGCTTTTTCAAATATACAAAAGCATTGTGTGTGTGTGTGTGTGTGTGTGTGTGTGTGTGTGTGTGCACCCAAATGTGTCACTGGGAATTCAATCTAGTGTCTTTCACATGCAAAGCAATCACTCCACCATTGAGCCACACCTCCACCCCACACAGAAAGGCAATTCTGAGGAAAACAAAATAGACTTCAACTAATGATGTTGCAACTCTAAACAAAAAGTAAAAACTAAGCCACCCAATACTCTATATTATCACTTTACCCCCCCCCCCAAAACTAACTCAAAACAGGCTACACAGACACACACACACACATACATACACAATCCTAAAAAAATAAAAACTAGAAGAAGCCAGATGTGGTGGCACACACCTTTAACCTTAATACACTCAGGTATTGGAGACAGGCAGATTTCTGAGTTTGAGTCCCAGTCTACGTAGAGTAACAGGACAGCTGGGCTACAAAGTGAGTCCCCTGTCACAAACAAACCACTCACACAACCAACCCCCAAAAAACCCAACCCAAAACTTTTAGAAGAAAAAAAAACCTTTTGAGTACAGGTGTAAGCAAAGTTAGATACATAAAAAAAAACCTGACATATAGAACGTGATATAAATATTACTTTATCAAAACTACAACTTCTGCTCTTCAAAAAGAAAAGCTGTAAATCAGAAGGAAACATTTATAAGACATATTTGATAAAGAATATATATCCAGACTATGTAGGACTTGCAAACTTCAGTATTTAAGAGATCGAGAAAGATTTGAAGACCCCAATGCTATGTGTAAAAAAGCACAAATCCCATTCCTGAGTGGTAGGGTCCATTGATCTATTTAAAGAAGAAAGGAACAGGATTCTGAAGGTTTCTCAGCCTGCATCCAGGCTGAGATCAAAGGAGAGCTCACAAGGTCTAACTGTAGCCAGCAGTGATGCCTGAACAGAGAAAAGCCCCATCTCTGCCATCTCTGCTCTAATCCTTGGCTCTACACCTACAGTGTAGTAGTGTCCAGCAGAGAGCCTGGGTCACCTATTAGGGTGGATGCAGAAGTAGCAGGAATCAAACCCTTTGTCTGTTTCCTGGCTGAGATGGAGGAAGAGAAAGTGAGAAAGATATTGACTACTGAAGGTACAATTGCTGGTCTTATGTTACCACTGGGCAGATAATGGATATCAGAAAGGTGGTCCTGGGGAACTGACTCTTCAAGGTACGGGGTATATTTCACTGGTAGTATGTGCGTATACACACTCATATTAAATCACAATCACGACAGGAGAAAGTTACTTGCTTATCAACCCCAAAAATATAAGAAAGTTTTAGGCTGGCAGTAGTATATATTTAGGAACTCTTAGACACCTAAGTTTGGGAAGCACTGAATGAATGAATCTTGCTCAAGCTAACTGGCCATAGTGAGAAAGCAGTGACGTCAATGAACCCAAAAGGCAAGAGCCTGACCTTGGTTTCCTATGGCCTGGGGGCCTGCTTTAGCTGGTGAAACCACGGGGCTGGGCTCTCCCTGGCTAGTGCTAGAGCCACTGCTATCAGGAGATCCAGGGCTTTCACCAAACTTCTGGAAGCAGGCTCGGCAGCAGCGTTCCTTCTTGCTACTGGGCTTAGTCATAACATAGTTGTTACAGCAGTAGTAACAGAAGACGTGGCCACATATCCTGGGAATGAAACAAGAACAGGCTTTCAGAAAGGTGTACAATCGATTGTGCATCACTGAGATCTGCTAAGCACCAGAACAAGTCTCTGTGTTGGGTTCCGGATGGCCCATGACTCTCCAGACCTAGCTCTGTCCTTAATGCAGAGTGTGCTGTAAACCCATTTCATAAGAGTCCAACAAAACCATCATGGTGAGCTTAGCAGAGAATGATTTATTTCCGTAGGTCCTCGAGGCAGGAAGAACCTCAGGACCCACCTTTCCTAGGAGCCTGAAGGACCTGTGTTCTCTGGCACCATCTACATCCCCCATAGGCTCAAGAAAAGCTAAAGGGTTGGTGTTCTCTGAGTGTCCCACATGCCTGTGAGTCCCCTTAACCCCACCCACATTTCCTTTCAGGGGGCCTTGAGTGTCCTGCTAGGACCCCAATAATACATACTCTTCTCCCACTTCCCACACTCGTCTCAGACCCCTCACCCAGCCTCCACCCTGGCGAGTCGCGGGCTGCTGACCTGCAGTGGTGCCGCCGCACTATCCAGCTGAACTCCCGCTTGCAGTCATGGCAGTGGCTGGCTTCCACGTCCCCAAGACATTTCTCTTCAGCACTGAGCTTTTGCTGGAATTCCAGTGCATCAGACTTTTGCCAGAGAGCATCTTTGTCCCTGCAATAATACCACAATTTAAGAATCCAAAAGGAGCAGAGGATGACCCTGTTTCATTTCAGAAAGCTGATATCAAATGTTCCAAACCATAGAAGCTAAATAAGTTTTCTTCTAAATGCTCTCTTCTCAACTCGAGGTTTGTGCTGACCTCTCCAAAAGAATCCCAGACATTGATTCTTTGACTCCATGTATGTGAGAGCATGTAAGAGGCACATGATATATACCAAAGGCTGTGTCATCCACAAGGAATTGCCAGCACTGATACATCACTCAGGGATCTTACACTAAAAACAAATTACTAATGAAAGTAGTATGCCACCAACTTGACAATGGACATGCTGTGAGTGGGCATGCAATATGCAGGTTGCTGAATGTACGACTGTGTAGCATTTATGTGCAGTGACTGTGAAGTGTGAAAAGGGCATCTGATCCTCTAAGATTGTAATTGAAGATGAGTGCTGAAAATTGAACCCAGGTCCTCTGGAAGTGGGTAAGGGTTAGGAATATAAAGATGACTGACTTTTTTCAAGGATACCTAAATTGTAAGGAGACAGGCTGACTCATCTTCTGGTCCAGCTTGTTCTTCCAGTTAGTCCACAGCATCTGACCAATATGTCCCTAGGAAACCAGATACTCACACCCTGGACTGTGAGAATGCTACTTGGTTTCTCTACCACATTCCTCAAGAAGATACCTGGAATTCTAACAAGTGAGTAGATACAGGCATATTATTACACTCATGACTCTACCACCACAAATGGAAGTGAATGAGATCTTATCTGCCTTGTGTTTTATCGACTGTCTCTTGACACATTCGTTTTTCAAGGCGTAGTTGTGTAAGAGCCATTGTCTTGGAAGCTGGTGTGACAGTATACATTTTTTAATCCCAAAACTCAGGAGGCAGATAGGCAGGTAGATTTCTGTGAGTTTGAGGTCTGACTTATCTACAATAGGGAGTCTCAGGTCAGCCAGGGAGACATAGTAAGACCCTGTCTCAAAATAAAATACAGCCAAATAAAGCAAAAAGATTTATTGTCTTGGAAAGTTTGATATGGAGTATTCATAGATAAAGCAATACTTTGTCTGGGCTTTGCTTCAAAGCCATCTAGAGGTGGGAAGATGTAAGTGGCCATGGATTGATTCCTGTTGAGGTTGAATGATGCATAATTATTATGACTTGAGTTTGAAACAGCCCCTCAAGTGTTTTGTCACAGAAAGGAAGTAAGGAAGGAAAGGAGGGAGGGAGGGAGAGAAGAAGGAAGAAAGGAAGGAAGGAAAACAGTTATAATACTTTATCTTCCATATTTGATTCCTTTAAGAAAAAGTTAAAGTTGTGAGTGACTTGCACTCATTTACCAACCAGGACATTTCACATAAAACCCCAGCTTCCCATGTCTGTCTTGGAAAGTAAGGCTGGTTTTGAGTGGCAAGAGTGGAACATACTGGGACCCTCAGAGTCCCCTCTAGTTTGGTTCCCACATGGACACTGCTGCTGGGTCCCGACAGGGAGCCCCACTCTTGGGAAAGTGGGACAGGACAAGAGAAGGTTCACTGGAGATGGGCATGGGATGGGGAAATGACCAAAGTTACTAAATATCATTTTACTGTCATTCTTTGCCAGGCACTCAGAGTTTGAACATAAACCCGCATCCACACAAAAACACAAATCACCGGTGTGATCAGGGAAATCCAGCCTTCAAGAATGCCAAAGCCTAGTGGGATCCTGCAGGCATATGGCTCCCTGACAGCAAACCATTGGATAGACCTTGAGGAAAATGAACTGTCATTTTCAGAAATGGTTTTTTTTTTTTTTCCCCTAAGAAAAGCCAATCATGGACAGGGTCTTCCACTGCTTCACACTCACCTGAGCAGCTCTATCAGCCGTTCCTCAAGGTATTTCTTGGTTCTGTTCAGGTCGTCTAGGTCTGCATGCATCTTCTGGTCATTCCTTTCCCTGTTTGTCACCTCCTGGCAGAGTTTGTTATAATATTCTTGGATTTTTGATGTGGCCTTTTCAAGTTCCTTCTGAGTTCTGGGAGAGGAGAAATACATTTTCCTGGTTAGCTCTGACATTCAGCTTCCCAGAATCTGTGTGCTCTTCTGGCCTTCAATAACAGGTCCTGTCGACCTCTTGGCCTTTCCCTCTCATGGTGAGACATGACCTGTTCACAGGTTATGCATTATCCCAAAATCTGAGACTCTCCCTACCTTCTTGTCAAAATGAAAGGGGTATTCTGAGATGGCAGAGACATTCCAGGATGTTAACATGCTCAGTGAGTGAGACATGGCACTCCTGTAAGGATTTCTAGACAGGACTTGAGGCTGGGAGGAGCCAGATGGGAAAAGACTTGTGGAGTGGTGATGGAGGATGAGCACAGGTGATGAGTCAGGACATAAAGTAAAGGCATGGTCTCTCCTTGCTCTCAGGTGTCTTTGGGACTCTGCTTTGAGGAGGGTGCTGGGTCTTTAGCAGGCCTTTTACCTGATAAGTCCTCCAATCCCCTGAATTTCTGTTCTAGGTCCTGTGGAATCTTAGCATACAACAGAGGGGGCTGGTGGAGCTGGCTGTCTGCCCAATCCCATGCATTCCACATGCAGTTTTAACTATCACCTTAGATGGTAGTTTCTAAGAATGTTACAAACCCCAAGATCCAACAAGGTGTTTGTAAGAACTCCATTAAACAGAAATTCTATGGAAAGAGTACATGTTTGTTTGTATGCTTTCGAGGCAAGTCTTACACATAGCTACCAGAGGTTATTAAATAATCAATGTCCACAAAATGATTTCAGGGTACACAACACAAAACATCATGGGAAGTCTAATCCTAGGCAGATGAATTATGCAATTCTGAGCAGCTAAAACAAATCCTCTGAGATCTTCCATATAACCATTCTTATAGTATTTGGCTTTGTTTTTTGAAATAGGGTCTCACTATGTAGCTCTGGCTGGCCTGGAACTTGCTATTTAGACTAGGATGACCTCAAACTCAAAGAAATTCACCTGCCTTCTGCCCTCCCTCCTGAATGCTGGGATTAAAAACATTTGCCACAGTAGAGTTGATGTTGACAGGCCTGCAGGTGATTCTCCTCGCCACCCCGAAAGTGTGTGGGTGCTCTGGCCCCACCCCTCCTCTGCCATATGGTGGAGTGGATGAGGAAGAGAAGAACTTCCCCTGCCCTTGCCACCTGTGGTGGTGAAGAATTGGCCTTGGGGTCATGAGAGTGGGAGAATTGGCAATGCACCTCACCTGCACACAACTGGTAGACCCTCTTGGCTGGGGGCACAGGTGAGTCAGTCCAGAGGGTATGAAAGCAGGAGAGCTGACCCCCTCATCAGTCATGTGGTGGCATGGGTGAGGGAAAGATACTTGTCCCCTTGCCACCTAGCCTGGGGTCATGAGAGCAGGAGAGCTGGTCCTGCCCTTCACTGGCTGTAGCACATAAGGAAGCAGGCCCTACAATTTGCCTGGGGAGCACACTAGAGCTGACCCTGTTGGCAAGGGTGCAGGTGAGCTGGTCCTGTGAATGTGAGAACAAGAGAGTGACACCTGCCCCCTTTCTCATATGCCATGTGGTGACATGGCAGGGGGAAATATGCCCTCCACCACCCACGCACTGCCAACTGCCTTGGGGGCAAGAGAATGAAAGAGTTGGCCCTGTCCCTCACCAACTGCAGCAATTGGGAAAGTGGGCCATATAACTTGTCTAGGCAAAACGTAGAGCTGGTCCTGGTGATGTGAGTGCAGGTGAGCATGAGAGTAGGAGGACCGGCCCTGCTCCTTGTTCCCTGCTGCACTGGGTGACTAGCTGGGGCAGTGCTGAAAAGCTAGCCCTAGTGGTGACAATGAGGGAGACCTGGCAGGCTGACCAACCCAGCTAAGCTAGCACTTAGGCTCAGAAACAGGGCTATGACTTGGTCCACCCAAACATCCACGTCACTTATGAACTGCTGGAGGGGCTGGATCTACATATCCGCAAAACAACAGAATATCCGGGAGGAGTTCCATTGTATCTACAGAGTAGTAGAAGCCAGAGGCCTTGAGCCAGACCAATGATCCATTGCAAAGAACACTTATAAGTAAAGATGTTTAGATTAAGGGGTATACTGTATGACTCACTGGTTTATACTATAGCTTCTATGTCAAAATTTTTTCTTTCTTTCTTTTTTTTTTTGAGGCTATACTTTTACTTTTTTTTTGGTGGGGGGTGGAGAGTCACAAGGACAGAGAATGGAGAAGAGGAGATGGAGAGATGAGTAGGGCTGGGATGTATGATTTAAAGTCCACAAAGAATCAATAAAAAGTTAAAAAACATGTGGTAGCATACCCGGTTTTCATTCTTACGGCATTTAAAAATACCAGTCCAAGTGTGTCCTCTGTTTAAACCACATGACCAAGATCTGACTAGGAGCTGGAAGAGATGGGCCAATTACTAGGCTCCACTGAATCCAGAGTCAAGCAGGAAGGCAGGTGGCAGGAGAAAAGGGATGGGTACAGGCTAAGGACAATCTAATGTACTTGCTTTTCTGGTGGCACCCAAGGGGTCCTCTCCTTGATGAACTTTTCTCAGCACGTCCTAGCTACACTGTTTTGGCCCCATCTGCAGAAGTGGGCTCAGTTTCACAACTACACATGGCCTCAAGCTGAGAGGGATAAAATGGGGGAGAAACTAACCCCTCTCACAGGACTGCTAGGAAGACTCAATAGGCAATTACAGGCTAAACATTCCTAATTTTGAAAATCTGAAATCTAAAACTGCTCTGAAATATGAAGATAACGCCCTCTGCTCTCAAGCTTCCAACATAAGATGTTCAGCCTGCACAAGCTGCACTTAGAACATGCCACACTGCAAGCAGGACTCAATGCTTGCTCTTATTCCCATTATTCTCATGCTCTAACTGTGCCTGCTTTCAGTTTTTTTGGAAGCATGCAGTTAGTATGTACCTTGCTGGAGATATAAAGCTGCACCAGATGGAAGGCACCTTGCCTCTTGTGAACTATGGCAGGAAGATAGCTAATGTTCTGTGCAAGCTTCTGGCCCTGTGCTTTCTGATGGCATGACTTTTGCCCGACTTTCTCATCTAGAGCAAGTGCTGGCTTTCTAAAATGAGTGCACCTACTAGCTCCCAAAGGTCACCAGCAGTTGTGTGGGTGATCCAGTGACGAACTTTCTAAAATGAGTGCACCTACCCACCCACTCCCTGAAGATCACCAGCGGCTGTGTGGGTGATCCAGTGACTGACCTTTCTAGGCTTTTTCGAAGAGTCGTGCTTTCTTCATCTTTGTGCTGCAAAGTGGCCTGGCACTCTGCAAGACGGCTGTTGGTACAGTTCAGTTTCTCCTCCATGGCTGCCTTGGTGACCTGGTATAAGATATCCAGGAGAAGACACAAAGCGTACAAAGCTTACCCTCCATGGAAGAAGAGACTGGTATGCTACACTTCCTAACAGGGCCACTTCTAAGGGGAAGGTTTTGTGCTGAAGCTGGAGTGCAATGGCATGGAGTGAGGTTACTAGTGGGACCATTGGCACTAGAGAAGGCCAACAGAGGTGACAAGAACAATTTCCTTTTAGTTCAAAGTCTAAGAAGGGGAAGGGAGTCATCACATAGACTTGGGATACTGTCTGAACCAATGACTGTCTCAGCTTGAGAACTGGCAGCATTTTGAAGAGCATCAATCCAGTAAAAGCAGATCAGATCCCCTTTCCTTGATAGCACACCTGCCAGGCCCACCTTCAGTTCGTGCACAGCCTCCTTAGTCACTTGCAGCTCCCGGCTCTGCTCTTCTAGCTGGGCCCTGAGGCTCTCACACTCTTCATTGGCCGTCTGAAAAGGATGAGGAAGCATCATCAGAGAGAGGTTCTTGCTCTGAGACTCCTTCACCTTTATCACCCAAAATGGTTTCTAAAAACATAACTGCACTATTTCCTGAACTGGATCCTCAACAAGCTTCTTCTCTACTGGTAACAAAATACTTGCAAGTTTACAAGGGAAAGTCTCAGCTCATTCCTCAAACAGAATTAATTTTTGCAAGTGAAAAAAAGTGGCCCATGAGGCTCACAGGGCTTCATGGGCAGAAGAGGGTGCAGAGTAGGCTGAGAGCACAGAGGCAGATACAGACCCACTAGGACACACACTGGAAAGCAAAGTACTGTGTCTACTTGTCCATGTTCTTATCTACTACTCTTTAGTCTCTTTTCTTCATGATTATCAAAGACTCATGGTCTATTGGGGCGGGGAGGTCTCAGTTAAGGGCCTTGCTTTTCTAAACTGAGCAAGTTCCCAGAGAAGCTATTTAGTAAGGACTAGTTAGGACTCAGGATGTCACAGACTGGTGACCATACGGAGGATGGGGCTCCAAAAGAAAAGGCAAAGGTAGAGGTTATGTGTGGAAGGGACTGTACACAAACACACAAAAGGGGAAGCAGCAGAAGGGTGTAACACTCTTTGAGCTGCTGCTGCATACAGCCTTGTGGGGACATGGAACTGTGCTATTAGATCTGCTGAGAATTCAAACAAAGTCATAAACCTGAATTTGTGTACATTCTGCTCTGTCAAGATTGACTATTAATTGCTAAAAAGTACTGTGTGGGCCAACATCTGCCACGGTCAAAGTGGAGGTTTCTAGGTAAAGGCATTATGCCCCATTTTCTATCTGATGTGCTTGTGTTTCTGCAAAGAAATGTGAGCTACCGAAGTTGAATGGGATCAGGACATTTCCTGTTGCAGGGCCATCTAATTGTGGAGCCACCCAGGTACACCTTGAGAAATGGCTAAAGCTGGGCTTACCTTCAATCTGTTCTGGTGGCCCATGATCTCAGCACTTAGCTGGAACTTGAGGGCATCTCGTTCCTGGTGTGCAGCCTCTTGGAGGCTCTGGGTCAGCTGCTCAGCCTGGGCCAGCTGTGCCTGTAGACCAGAGCACGAAACAGCTGCCTCCTCAGCTGCCTTTAGTTTTTCCTGTAACTCCTTCTTCTCTTGCTGTAGTCCCACCACCTGGAGCTCCAAGTCCTTTCGTTCCCGCAGTGCTGCCTCCCTGGAGTCCTGGAGCTCCTGGGTCAACCTGGCCAGGGCCCCCTCCATCCGATCCTTCTCGGCAGTCAGGGCACAGACCTGTATGCCAAGCTCAGCTGTGTCTGTGTTGGCTCGGTGTAGCTGGTCCTGTAGCTCTGCATGCTCCAGGTGGGCTCCCTCGGAGCTGCACCTCATCCGTGATAGCTCCGCCTGCAGGGCTTGCAGCTCTTGTTCCTGCTTCTGGGCCTTATAGATGCTCTCCTCCTGTAGTACCCCTTCTCGCTCTGAGCACAGCAGCAGCTCCTGAACATGGGCCCTGTTAAGGGCTTCATTCTGCTCTTTCAGTTGTTGCACCAGGGTCTTGTGCTCCCTCAGGACTGTCTCAGCCACACCCAGCTGGCTCTGTAACTTGTCCCGGTCACCTAGGGCCACCTGGAGCTTGGCTTGGAGGTCCACCACCTCATTCTGTAACCGCTGGGCTTCCCCCTGGTGAATTTCTAGCTGTGCTTGAGACAGAGCCAGTTGGGTTGTGTTGACTTGGGGTAGGCTGAGTCCCTGGTGGCCTTTTTCTGCAGAGAGGGCCTCAATCAGCTGAATCTGCTGCTGACACTGGTTCTCAAGAGCCCTGAGTTCCTGATCTTGGGCCTCCGTCCGAAGCCGGCACTGATCTGCCTCTTCCTGCAGCCGCCGGCACTCACCCTCCTTACTCTGCAGGGCAGCTTCCTTCTCTGCCACCTGGGCCTTCATGGTCTCTTTGGCTTTCCTCACAGCCAAAAGACTTGCTTCCATCTGGTCTCCTAGGTGCCGGATGCTGGCCTGCTCAGCCTCCAGAGAGGCTAAGGAGCCCTGAATGGCTGCCTCTCGCTGCTGCAGCGCTGTGTAATCAGTTTGCAAGGCTAGAAGTTTACCCTCCAAAAGCTGGTTGCGCACGGCCATGTTCTGCAGCTCCTTCTGTAGCTCCTGGTTGACCTTTCGCAATTCCTTCTGGTCTTCCTCTGGCACTGTGGCATCATTTACCTCTTCTTTCTGGAGGTGTTGCTGCCCCTCTTCTGGCATCTCCCCAGTCTGTGGTGAGACAGAGCTCATGGAGGCCAGGGCCTCCCTATTCTTGCTGACCCCATGCCCTTCACCTAGCTGCTCTAGTGTGCTCACTTTCTGGCTGAGATGATCTCTGTCCTGTATAAGTTGTTTCTTCTGTTCCTCCAGGTCGCTCACAAGCTGACTCACCTGTGCTAACTGGGTCTCTAGGAGCTGCAGCTGCCATGTCAGAGACTTGGCCTCCTGCTCCAGCAGCTGCTTTTCTTCTCGATGCTGCTTTTCCTGCTGCCTGGCTTCTGCTAGCTCTTCCTTCACAGAGCTCAAGTGGGCCAGGGATTCCTGCAGCTGCCGCTGGAGCTCAGCTGACTCTTGCTTCTTCCCAGATAGCTCTTCCTGAAGTGGGGCCACATCCTTCACTAAGTGCTCTAGGTCAGCCCGGGCCTCCTCCTTTAGCTGAAGTTCCTTGACCAGCTGCTCTAGTTTGATACTCTGCTGCTTGTTCAGTTCCTGGGCCTTGGCGTTCTCTCCTTCTAGGGCTTCCAGTTTCCCCTTCAGTTCCTGGAACTTCAGGGCCATGTCAGCAGGAACTGGCTCTTGATGAAATGTTGTGTCCAGAGCTGAATTTGCCTTCTTCTCTGCCCTGGCCAGGCAATGTGAGAGGCTGGCTAGAAGCTGATTTTTCCTACCCAGGGAGTCTCTCACAGCCTCAAGTTCCTGTGCCATGGTCTCAAGCTGCAGGGTTGAGTGGCTATTTTCTTTCTTGTCTACATTCAACTCCAAGGCCTGCAGACATGTCTGAAGCTTCTTCACTGTGGCTTGGGTGATCTCCCCCTGCTTCTGGAGTTCTGACACTAGGCCCACGAGGCCAGTGTTATCCTCCACTGTAGAGTACCCCCTCTCCTTCTCTGCCTGAGGCTGCTCCCCTTGTCTGCTGATCATCGCTCGAAGTGCTTGGTTCTCCCTGTCTAGCTGCTGTACATGTTCTTGTAGCTGTTTCTCTCGAACCTCCAACTGGTCTAGCTCCAGTCGCATCTCATCAAAACCTTCTAGTGCTTCATTGTTTAGAGGACTGTTTAGGTCAAAACTGGAGGCCATTTCCTGAGTCTAAGGGAAAGATAAAGACAGGAGGCTTTAGCATTAGGCTGCCAGCTACTTGGATAAGTTTCTGCATTCTATGAAAGTAGAAGTAAAAACAAAGGGATGGTGAACCTTCATCTGGCGATGGATGGAGATAGAGACAGAGACACACATTAGAACACTGGACTTAACTCCCTAGGTCCAAATGAGAAGCAGATAGAGGGAGAACGTGAGCAAGGAAGGCAGGATCAGAGGGAACCTTCATCCGACGATGGATGGAGATAGAGACGGAGACCCACATTGGAGCACTGGACTGAGCCCCCAAGGTCCAAATGAGGAGCAAAAGGAGGGAGAACATGAAAAAGGAAGTCAGGACCACGATGGGTGTGTTCACCCACTGATACAAGGGGACTGATTGAATGAGAGCTCACCAAGGCCAGCTGAACTGGGAATGAACAAGCATGTGATCAAACCGGATTCTCTGAATGTGGCTGACATGGGGGCTGACTGAGAAGCCATTGACAATGGCACTGGGTCTTGTTTCGTCTGAATGTACTGGCTTTTTGGGATCCTAGTCTGTTTGGAAGCTCACCTTCCTAGACCTGGAGGGAGGGGGGAGGAACTTGAACTTCCCACAGGGCAAGAAACCCTGACTGCTCTTAGGACTGGAGAGGGAGGAGGAGAGGGAGTGGGGGAAATGGGAGGGTATTGGGAGGAGGGGAGGAAGTGGAAATTTTTATAAATAAATAAATAAAAATAAAAAACAAAGGGATTACCTGACCTAAGTAAGGTAAGCTTTTAGAGCTATTCCAAGATTAGAACCCTTATGTTCAAAGCACATACCATAAGGTCCAAACACATTCAGGGCCCCACAAGCCCCACTAATAAGCAGACTCATATCTCTAGCCAGCCTCCATCAGCTTTATGAGTTTAAAGGATACGCTTCTTAGAAAATCTAAACTCAGTTAACACTGAAATTATGGTAAACCCACTGTATTATATACACCAATAGTACCATGAGATGACAAAAATCACAAAATGAGGTCAAAGATCGATCGATCTATCGGTTTTTTGAGACAGCCTTGGTTGGAACTTGCTATGTAGGCTGGCCCCACAGAGATCTGCCTGCCTCTGCCTCCTGGGTGCTGTGACTAAAGGCATGTGCCACCATGCCCAGCTCATTTTTTTTTCTATTTTGAATGCTCTTTATACATGAACATTTTTGTACTGCGAAGAAATTTCTATTATATAGTTATAATAGGCTCACATTTTTAGTACTTCCTGACCCACTGTTCTTAAGCAGCCTTTCACTAGGTCCTCCACTGAGGACCAGGATGATTTCATTAACCCCTCTCCGGAAAAAAAAGAATTGAAGTTTCTAAATCAATTTCCCTTTTGTTGGATGCTGGTAGGTGGCAGAGTCAATTCTATCTAATATCAGTGCTAACCTACATCTTGTAAGATACTTTAAAACTACTTTAAGATTCCAGTTTTAAAAGGGTCTAAATTTTATCTGACTGTAAAAATCTAAATTCCAGGACATAGAGGCTATAGTTTGAGGGGTTATATTATTCTGCTTAGAACAACAAGTATTTGAAAGGACTACCCTTGAATTGCTTGGGGGAAAAAGACATACTTTGATCACCCTAGCAGTCTGCTAACCCCAGCCGTCCCAACATTACCTGCAAATAGTTGCTCACTAAACTGCTCATGCTGGAACTTCGGCTGGGAGGTTTCCACATGTGAGCAGAAGAGCTGGTGGCCAGTGTCCTCCTGTGGGGCCACAGAACAGACACACTTGTATTCAGATAAGAAAACACACACACACACAGGCAATGGTGCTGACAGTTACTAGGCAACCAGGTAACGGTAGGATATGGTCTGGATATCACTTGAGTATGTCTAATAAAGGGTTCTAAGTTGGTCCTTAGAATGGTGGTACTGAGAGATAGTGGAACCTTTAAAAAGTGTGGCTAGCATAAACCCTTAGATCAATGCTATTTGAAGGCACTATGGGACTCTAACCTCTTACTATTTGGGACATATGATCTCTTACTTCTGCATAAAATACACCCCATCTCCTCTTCACAGGCTACCTACTCTGAAATGTTAGTCAAGGGGATCCCTTGCCAGAGCCTGGACCATGTTGCTCAGGCCTTCAGCCTCTAAAACTGTGACCTAAACAAGTCAGCCTCCCCCCACCCAAAAGGAAGACTTTCAGACTCTTTTTTTTTTAATTTAAAGATTTATTTTTATATGTGACAGGGAGGCCAGAAGAGGATACAATATTCTCTGAAGAATGGTTGTGAGCCACCTGACATGGGTTCTAGGATTTGAATGTGGGTCCTCTGGAAAAGTAGGAAGCATTCCTAACTGCTGAGTCATGCCCCCAGACTAAAAATGTCTTTTCTTTATAAAGTTAGACTGCCTCAGGTTTTCACTACAGTAATCAATGGATGAGTCCCAGATGGAGCATAAAGAGGAAAGCACAACACTTCTCTCCAAAGAGCAATCTCCATGGGCTGGTGCAGGCCTCCATTGGCATGGGGATGAGAGACGGTCTAGCAGTTAGGAATGCTTGTTATGCAATCGTGGAGACTGGAGTTTGAACCCCAGCACCTATGTGACAAACTATGGACCCCAGACATGCTTGAAATCCCATCACTAAGAGAGGTGAAGACAGGGAGATCACTGGGGTTTTCTGGTTGCTGGCTTAGAGGAGAAAACTTGAGCCTTCGTTTCGGGGAGACACCTTGCCTCAAAAGAATAGGTGTAAGGTAATAGAGCATAACTGGTGCCCTCCTCTGACATCCACTTACATGCACTCACATACACACAAACAAATGAATCCAAATACTATAGTTTTCTTTCACTGTCAAAAAAAAAAAGCCCAGTAAATACAATTTCCAATTTTTAGTTGTTTCTTTGAGTTTCAGGTGCCTGTCACAGTCTATTTGCCAAGGAAGAAAAAAGCAGCATTTAACCTAGTTTTTAAAAAGTGCTACTGTGCTGAAAGGCTCATCTACAGTGTGACTGCACTTCACACGGACATACTGCACAGGGCAACTCTACAAAATCTCCTTTACTGAAAAGAGTTCTCCTGGATGGTGTGGGTCTGAAACATAAAGGCTTGTGTGAACTCTCAGTTCATAGAAACATTGCAATCTAATCTCACTTTTACCCTCCAGAATTAACCTATAGTTATTGAACTGTCAAACCTATCAGTCCCCTCAACCTAGCAAGGACCTCAGTGCTGCACAACCACACGTGTGTGTGAGGTATGAGGGAAGGAAACTCTTGGTAGAGTATCACTGTGGAAAGGTGGAACAGGTCTACTCCATCAGAGGGTGTCACACCTGGTTATGGTTATTCATGCAGTAGAATATGCTACACCGTGGGTCTGCTGGCTGTAAATATTTTCGGCTTGTGAAATCAATAGTCTATATCACAACTACTCTGCATGAAATCTGCCACAGAATATGTAAAGAGATGAGCAAAGTTGCTTCACATAGTGCTCTGATTTGCTTCTACCCCACAACCACAGAATCACAAGCGTACACACAAGTGAAACTAAGCAATGTGAAATGAAAAGGGGAAGTATGACATAATAGCTTTCTCATGATTTACTGTGTATAACATTTTGAAAATATATATAACATACTATCATAAAATACTTGTGAATATATACACATATAGTGAAAATAAAGCCTTGCTACCGACCGGCCTCAACCATGGTGCTGTGCTTACTTTGGGAAAGGAAGAAGGAAAAAGACAACATCAGAAAGATGGGGTCTTAGTTAGATCTACAGCATTTTGTTTAGATCTACAGTATTTTGCTTCTTTAAAAAAAATAGAATATCATCAGAAGAAAGAAACCCTACACGATTCAGCCTGAAAGTGTTCCCTTTGGACAGATAAGGTTAAGTTAAATTCAAAAAAATAATGATAGAATGTAATCCATTGAATAACAACAAAACAAAACCAAAAACCTACCACCAACAAAAAACCTCATGAGTCAATTCTGAGATAAATGAATAAATAAATAGGGATGGCAGAAAAAAATAGTTATGAAGCTATATGTAATTTACTGAGCAAGAAAAATTTCTAGGCAGATGGGTGACTGTCTTCAAAACATTGAACATCTCTTTCCTTTTCTTTTTAAAGAAAGCAAGTTCCCAAAGTACCTAGCAAATGTCGGCCAGGCGGCATCCAGGTCGTATCCCCTTGATGATAGATCAAACTGAACCTCAGTCAGCTCATATAGTTGGCCCACAATGTCAGAACTCATCTTTGGCTTCAGAAAGGGGCTTCTTGCATAATACCAGTCACTGCAGAAAACATACACTGTGTGAATTGAGGAGAAACAAGGATAAGCAAAGAATAAATCTACTCAAGACCATCCTGTGTGGTTCTGACTTATCAAATCCAGTAACTTATGGTACTAAATCAAAAAACAAGCAAACCATTTTTTCTTTCACTGATGGACCACTGGTTCTTAAATAAGCTTTCTTTGCTTAAAAGAAACTGTTGCGATGATCTAGATGATTATTATTTATATAATATCTCTTTCCTCCAAAGAATTTGAGATACTAAATCTTTGTGACTTGCCAAGAAAGGGCTACTGTAGGAGACAGGAAAATTCCTCTGGGAAAGATAACCTCAGCTTTTCTTCCTTTCACAGAATCCAACAAGACACATCGGGCTCACTTCTAACTTCTGTTCAGACATTAAAAGCAAAGGAATACATGTCTATCCAGAAATATTATATGTACATTGTTATTGTGGTTTATCCATCTCACATGAAGCATTAAGAAATTAAAAAGATAGTACTGATTGCTTGTTTCATATTTGTGGTCTATGACGCTGAATTGTTTAAGGTAGTCTTAACAAAATACCTACAACAACATACTCTTCAAATCAAATGTACAAATGTTTTTAGCTCACAAGTCTGACACATGGGTAAGAATGTAAATCAGTCTTAAAGGTGACAAAATAAAGCTAAACATTTGCCTGTTATTTTTTAATTCAAAAGTCCTTTCTTTCAGTAACTCAAATCTCTAAGGAGAGGCAGAACAGAAATAGAAAAGAAATGCTGGCAAACTCAACGAAGTTCAGTTGGTGAGGCGCAGATCTGCAGCAACGACCCTGATACTCCCTCACATTCACTCACTCAGGACCACCTCTCCTCTTTTCTGATTGTTTCCTGGTGAAGCTGTAGCACTTATGAGATACAAACGCAGACAGAGGGGCAACCTGGATTCACAGCAGTCGCCCTTCAGTCACCAGGGAGCCTGGCTCTGTGGTAGGTGGGAGCCCAGACTTAGTAAAGGAGAACCACACTGGCAATTCTGGGAAACACAGAAACACTGGCTCCAAGCTCTAGTACACCAGTTGAGCATATGAGAGAGCTAGGGAAATATTCCCCCTCTTCACTCCTTTTACCCCACATGCTCAAAGACTGGTAGGAAATACAAAGAATAATGACTATAGAAGAAACCGGAGGCACCTGCCACTGACTGACATAATTTCAGTTCACTGGTGCTATGGGGTTAAGTGCAGCACAGTCTTGCAATTACCTGGTCACTTTAGAGTTCATGAAGCACTGCTGCAAAGTGTCTGCCAACCTCTGGTGCACCAAAGAGTAACGAATGAAAGCTCTGCCTTTCCCCAGAGATGTTCGGAGCTGAAAACATAGATCACATCAAGATGAACACTTGCCTCACGGAGGATTAGCAAAAGCCACATACAGGACAAAGCATGCCATCCAACCCTACTCAGACACTGGTAGCCCTCATACCCATCAAAGGACACAAAACATGTGGCACTGTCACTCTAGAGTAAATCCTGAAGTGGGCAGGCTTCTCCCAGAGCTCTATCTGAGAATATTCTGCAGCAAACATGTGAAGAAAGATATATGAATGAGACATTGAATAGAGTCACTCTTGTTCTTCCTATCAGAATCTGAGTCAGACAGGAAACTCCTTGATTTAATATGGAGTAAGGTGTGGAATCTGGAGGTAACTGAAGGGATGGTAAACTTGGTTGGTACTGGGGTTAAGGTACTAGGGGGTGAGGCTCATGGAGAGAGAGGCCTCAGGGGCTTGGTTTGAACATGTGTAGAAAGGGGAAGAATAGAAAGAGTGGAGCTGTGTAAGTGGAGCTTTGTAAAGGTTATGGCAGATGTATAACAGTTCCCTTTGTCGTAAAACAAAACAAAACAAAACAAAACAATAACAACAACAAACCAGTTTCCATGTATCTGTTTATGCTTTACTAATTGGCTGGTTTCTTTTCAGAAAACCCAACTCACTGCATTTAGTCAATGTGCTACGGATGGGAATAGGGCTTTCCAGGAAGTCTTGTCGCCAGAAGTAGAAGTCATAGAAAAGCCCAGGTATCCACAACTCTGCAACGACTTCGATGACAAAACCATGGAAAAGCATAAAGGGATCCATCTGAGGTTTGGTATGCTGGGCAGACTCTGCAATGACGCTGCAATGCAGGGCCCTACTAGCTGTTGGCACATGGCAGCCAAAGCAAGTGGATTAAAAAGAGCGGCCATAGAGGACACTTGAAACAGGTTTGAAAATTAAGATTCATAATCCTAACATATCTCTCCCAGAAGTAGTCAGGTATTCAAAACACACTGGATCTACCATAGGTATCTTGGCTCTGAGTAGAGAAAGCGGGGCCAACACTCAGAATGTGGTAGGAGAAGGATGACAGCAGTCTGGTCAAAAAGGTTCTTACTATTCTCATGCCCTGGATTGAGACAGGAAGTATGTGGCACACCAATAAGGCACCAATAGCGCTGTAAACTCAGTGGCAGTTAACATCTTTAACTCAGGTATTTCTTACTTTGAATCATTCTTACTGATGACTCAAAGAAATAATATGAGGTGATTTTAAAAGACATGAAACCTCATGAACGATGGACATCATAAGACATTTCTCCATGTATCGTCACAATGGCTTAAGCGGAGGTGGGCAGAAGACTGACTGGATATAAAGCACTAAGGTGTGCTTCCAAATAGTCATCTCAATAGGTGTTTGGAGGACAACCTCGATGCCAACACCCATGTTCACTTTCTCCTCTAATGAGTTAGATGAGAACAAAGTGCTTAGTGGAGACAACTGGGCAGCCAAAAACAGCTAGGCAAGGTGGCCACCCACATACCCCAAAACTGGAGTAATGATGGAATCTAGTCAGACCTCTGCTCATAAAACTACTCTTGTCTGTAAGCTCTCAGAGCAGGAGTGAGTCCTTATTCCTCCTACATGACAGTAAAACTTCTTAAATCGTAATTAGCTGAACAGATGATTATATAAGAGAGCTAGCTACTTACTTTAAAGGAACTTTATAAATGTCCTTCAGGAAAATGAATATTTCCTTTGTGCTGAAAATGAAAGCAACTACATACCCCCTTTAAAAAATGTTTTAGATCACAGGTCAGCTTTTATTACTCAATTCCTGACATTTTTGGCATCCCATATATACCACACTGAAAAAGGCACACAACAGCAGCACAGGATGGGAGACCTGCAAGGAACATGGCTGCCTCTGCTTTAAACCAGACCACTGTGCCATGAGCCTGGAGCAGAGCTGGCCTACAACACCTCTAAAACCTGCATGAGCAAGCCAGAAGTCAGCACACAGCTTTCTTAGCTTCTTTAAATTCTATCTGCATAGCCTCAAAAGGTCTGAATGCGTTATGAAGAGAAGAAAAAAAAAAACAGCTAAAAAGTAGATTGTTTTAGAAAACAGTTCATGACCCTAGGAATGAAGACTAACTTGCTGTTAGACTTCACGTGTCTAAAGTCATACAATTGAAGGCTTCAGTGATGATAAATGGGTGAGGAATGGGAGAAGAGGGTGGGGTGGGAACCTTTCTAAATTTCTGATACATTACACACTGCTCTACATCACGAACTTGGGTTTCTCACCAACCTCACAAGACCAAACCACACCACAGTGACATTAAAGATACAAGCAAGACAAACACTTCAGAACTACCATCTTTCCTTACTTGCCTAGAGTTAGAAAGTGCAGCTGGAAGAAATCACTGAGTCTATGATGTTGCTGTGCTTAATACTGTTTACATCTATAAGAACAAACACCATAGCCGGGCGGTGGTGGAGCACACCTTTAATCCCAGCACTTGGGAGGCAGAGGTAGGCGGATCTCTGTGAGTTTGAGGCCAGTCTGGTTTACAAGAGGTAGTCCCAGGACTGGGTCCAAAGCTACAGAGAAACCCTGTCTCAAAAAAAGAAGAAACACCATGGCTTCAGCTAGTATTCCTGGGAGTGCTATTGCTAGAACACTCAACAAGTCAACACCGTGGCCTCTGAGGTCAGCCAAAGGGCCTATGGGCTGACTTTAAAGTGATTTCATACTTGTCAGAGATGCTGACAAGACAAAATGCACAAACTTTTCTAGCATTTCTCTAAATTTCGGGTTCACTTCTGGGTTGACTGGGCTGATGAGAGAGGGAGTCACTGGGATGGGGAAAGGAAAGAGGTATGAAGGAAACATCTGAGGTTTAGGCACTCACAATACTCACCACATGGTGTGCTAAGCAAATTCTCCATGGGCCTTAACACAGGACCTTCTAGCTTCTGGGGCAAAGCACCCAAGATAGATAGATTAAAGAGACTGCCACAGAGGTCTCCAGACAGGATTGCAAATTAGGATCCACAAAGGTTCAAGAAGGGTGTGTAGTGTGGTGTGGTGTGTTTGTATTTCTTTAGAAGTTTGTAGTAAGACAAACCCAGGGGATAAGAAATATCCTTGAGACCCTACCTTACTCTCTTCACTTCAAATCTAAGTTTCCTGACCAAACTGCTGGAAAAGTAGTAGACCAGAAACTTTAAAGTTTGTTGGGCTTACATCCATCCATCTATCTATCTATCTATCTATCTATCTATCTATCTATCTATCTATCTATCTATCTATCTATCTGTTCATTCATTTGTTTTGTGTGTGTGTGTATGGTATGTGTATGTGTGCAGGTCATGTATGTGTCATGGCACATGTGGGGAGGCCAATCTGCAGAAGTCTGTTCTCTCTTTCAACCATGTGAGTTCTAGGGATGACACTTTGGTGGCAAATGCCTTTACCTAAATAATTGTCATGTAAGTCCCCTGACCTAGCAACTCTAGAGAAAATGATTTTTTTAAAAAAAGGGAAGTAGTGTTGCACACTTCCACAGGGTGTCATGAACAGACTTTCCAGTGTGGATAGCCCAGTTGGAAAGTAACATTTAGGACCCAGCCCATTTCTGCTTATTCCAATCTCAAGTAGTTTCTAAGTCTGAATCATATAACAGGCACCCAGTGTGCCCTGACTAGATTTCTTATCTTCTTAGCCACCCATAGACTTCATGCTACATCTAGCTATTTATAGAAGAGGTGTCCACAAAGAAGGTTTAGGCAGGCCAGTGTTAGACAGGTGTTCTTCTCTTCATGGCTTAGTTTACCTCAGAGATGGACTTGACAAATCGGATCCCATCATTTGCTCCCTTCACCTTGGCTAGGCACGCACAGAAGTAATCCCAGTAGTCCTTCTTGCTACCCAGGAGGCTAGCCTTCTCCTTCTGATCAAACTGGGCAAAAAAGGAACAGAGAGGAAGTCTGAGCCCACAGATGTTCATGCTCTATTAACACAATAAATGAAGCTAGTTTCCTGGGAACAGGCACTGAGGGAGGTCTCTTAATGGTCTTACTTTAATTTATTGGCAAATCAGAGCATGCTAATATCAAGAGTGTTTTAATTCGCCAACTTTAGATGTGTAAACTGAGGTTAGTAAACACCAGCTCAAGGTCATATAACTAGCAAGATTCAGGAATAATAGTTATCCCAAAAGACTCATCTCTTGGTACTTGCCTAGCATATACAAAGCCTGAGTTGTGGTTCCAGTACAGCAAGCTAGATTGTGTAATGATTGTTCTGTCTCTTTAAGAGACAAGCCATGCCCACTCCCTCCCCCATCCGCTGAGGCAGGCTGATCTTCAGCTTCCAGTCTGAGCTCTCTCTCTTTTCCGTCTTCCTTTCAGAGAGGCAGCTTCTGACTCTCTCCCCACTTCACCCCTTCCCTGGTTTCTGTCTCTCTTTTCTCTGTCCCTCCCTCCTTCTGTCTCCCTCTCCCTTTCTCCCTCCCCCTTCTCTGCTCTTCTCCTCTTCTTCCTTCCCCCTCTATAACCCGCTGAATAAATATCCAAGTCTCTGTCTCTTGCTATGTGTCTCCCTGCCTGGGACCAGCCACCACTAGGGGACCAGCAGCTGTCTCTGCCTGGGACTGGCTGCTCTCAGGGGCTGCTGCCTGCTGCCACAGGGCCCGCTACCACCGCTTGGTAGCGGGCCATTTCTGCTGCCACCGCTGGGGATCCTGCAGCATTTTTCATTTTTCCATTTCAGATTGATTAATAGAAAAAGGAAGGGAGGTAGGAAAGGAGAGAGAAAGAAAAGCAAGAAGGAGAAAAGGAAAGTAATGAAAGGAAAAAAGAAATTATCATAGTTTGGTAGAAAACCTCCAATATGATAAGGAAATTCAAGTGAAAAGTCTTACGTTAACATTCAGAGTATTAACTGTGTTGTAACTTAGGGAACTGGGGCAATGACATTTTACCCATTACTCAACTCTCAAGAGTCAATACAATCTTAAAATGCATGAAAAATTCAAATGACTGTCAGTGTTGAGTACTTTCAAATTCAAAATCAAATGGGCTTACCTGGAAAAGGAAAAAAAAACAAAGCGAGATCTCATAACCAGCTGGTGTCAAAGAACCAGGTGGAGGCATAAGGCGAGTCCTTCCATGCCTGTCTTTATTCCTAGCGGTTCTTTCACTCTAAGTTCTTTGTGGGATGTGATACTACAAAGTATGGTAGGTATCTTTCTATACCATTTATAGAATTTCTCCCTGGTTATGGAGTAAGATTCACATACACTATTCTCAAATCTAGGTAACACAAAACAAAACCCAGAAAAAATAGTAATGCCTCATACAACTGTGGTAAAATGACTGCAGGTCAACTTCTTTCCTGCCTATTTCAAAAGTATGTGCTTCCTAAATCAGCAGAGTTGTCTGGGTCAAATTAAGCAGACACAAAAGTCACACCATGAAAATGTTGAAAGGATGTGGCCGGTTAGGTGGTGGTACACACCTTTAATCCTAGCACCTGGAGGCAGGTGGATCTATTGAGTTCAAGGCCAGTCTGGTCTACAGAGCAAGTTCCAGGAAAGGCTCCAAAGCTATACAGAGAAAACCTGTCTCGAAAAACCAAGAGAAAAAAAAGAAAAAGAATGTTTGCCTGACTAACCCTGATTCAGCCAGCTCCACAGTAGCCGTGCTTGAGGAGCAAGGCTCTGAAATGGGCCTTAAATGGTCTTCCAGAGTCTGCACTCTTGGAAATCACCCTTATGCCTGGCTTATGTACATACATTGTATCTTCAGTTAAGAGTTCTGTTGGATAGGCCTGTTACTTGTTTTAAGATGGTTTAAATCTTAGGGGAATGTTTTCAGTTCCCAGAACATGCTGACTCGCACAGGAGAACTGAGCTCTTAGGACTGCTCTGACTCTTGGTCTTACCACAAGGGCTTAATTGCTCCACTGTGCTTTCTGAACCACATTCTGGAAACCAATATAAGTCACTCAAATAGGGAACAAAAGACTACTGTGACAAAACCAACACATGACAGATGCCACTTACTTGTAGAAGATACTCAAGTTTATAAGAAAACTTATGCAAGCTGGTGCTGTCATCTGTGATCGGTTCTCCTCCTTCTTTAAATTCATTGCTTAGTTCTGTCACTGCATCTTTAAGACAACAGACAGGAACAAGTGACTAGAGAGACATATATGTTTACATTTCAACAGTCCTAAAACTAGCCTGCATCTTAGATGTACTGAAAAGTAAGTCTGAGAAAGCAGAAATAACACCAGGAAGCACTAGGATAAGTGGTCAATGGTGGTCACCTTAGAAACACACAGGGCTTGTAAATATTCATCCCTGTGAATCCACCACCAAGCTAGCACTATACGCATATACAGCCAGTTAACAAATGGTTGCCATGTGGATTAATCAACTGCAGCGTCACAAAACAAGAGACTTGGGAGAGTGAAGGGTAAGAAAATGGCCAGGATAAAGTCTGTTTTATTTTGTGATAAGAAAACACCCAATACTGGGTATTCACAAAGTAAAAGTATTTATTTAACATTTTAGAAGCCCTGGATAGGGATTCGTATTATGTGTTGAAAAACAAGGCAATACTTTCTATGCAATGATACATTAAATGAGAAACACACCTAAAAACAAGGCATCAGTTTTGGAGGCTCCAAATGGTGGCGTCTGGCATTTAATAGTGTGACATTCCCTTTCATAACTTACCCCCCACAGGAATTAAACCAGACCTAAAAGACCGCTCTGTGAAGACAGCATTGAGTTCTTTTCAGGGTGGCCATGACTCAATCACCTGTCACTAGACCCTAGTAAGGTTCCATTTCTCTTCAACAGTGGGAGCCAAGTTTCTAGCACAAACCATAGCATTCACTACAACCTATCAGCACAAGTTAAATACAGGTTTCAGAGCATCAGCAAGTACAAGTAACAGTAACAATGATAACAATATGTGCTTCTGTTAACTGGGTACCCAAGAGGGGACAGACCTTTATGTGTATTCTTCATTAATAGAGATGTTATGCAATATGCATTCTAATTTTAGCACTAAGAAAAGATGAAAAAATTAAATACAATATAGAATCCAGGAAATCTCTTATTATCACCCCCGTTTTACAGATGAAGGACCCTGCTGGCAAACAGCAGGGCTCTAAGCAGACACTGGTCCCTTTACCTCTCCAGTGTGCGGACTGCTTCCCTTGTTTGCTGGTTGGGTTTGATGACAGGGTGTAGGTTTCAAGACTATTGAAACAACTGTGAAATTTTAGTGAAGTTAATACAGATTCATAAAGTTTTCTTTGAAAACTAGCCATTGTGACATAGAAAAGACCATTTTGTGGTGAAACTTCTAAGGACCAATCTCAAACACAGATTTATACAAACTGTCATTTATTTTCTCTATATGTCTGTATAAATTAAACAAAAGAAAACAAAAATCAAAGTCTAATGTGGTCACGTGCTAAGACTGATGGTGTATAACCCCAAGCTTTGTTCCACACTGGTTCTGTGATAGTAAGAAAGTCAGATAGTAAGATACTCCACTGTGCAAAATGGTAGCAGCAATAGCGCCTACCTCATAGGACCAAAGAAGAAAATTCCATAAATTTCTACCAGTAACATGTATATGTATACACAACAGTGTCTTATGTACATAAAACACCATTCAAAATATAACTCAAAAATTTTTGGATTTTAGTGTATTTCATTTATCAGTTTTAAATTAGGGATGCTCAATCAGCATAGTGTTCCAAAACTGCAAAATATCCAAGAAAATTATAAAATATAAAAATGAAACAAAATCAAAATCTGGAATACCTTTCAGATAATGGACACCAACATGCATCAGCTGTGAGAGGTCTCAAAGCACTGTGGAGAGCAAATCTGAGAAAGTGGGTTGGACCTTGTTGGCTTTGGATCTCAGATGCAGACTATGGACTGCACCAAGGCTCTCCCAGACCAATAACCTTTACTACAAGACTTCTACTTGTTTGCCAAGTTCAAGCAATCAGGAACCCGGACTTCTAGGCTGTCACGGAAGTGTCACTGTGACCTCTGCAGGCACAGCTTACGGCAAATGTGCTGGAGCTCCAGAGGCTTACAAAAATCAACCCTGGCAGAGTGAGGGATGAGAAACCTACTAAAATCTGGTCCTTGGGAGATCATCTAAAAGGGTAAAACTTGGGTTTCTGCAATCCACAAAAAAGCTGTTATTCTGTCAAGGTCTATCTCGCTTCAGGTTTGTCCGCTTCCCTCTCTTGCTTTTCTCCAATGGGGAGGGCTACAAACCCAAGTGGCCCCCTTAGAAAGCCTGGAGGTAGGAGGCTTGGTACTAAAACATATAGGACAATGGCCACCAGTGGCCAGGGCTGGTGCAGGGAGATGCAACATGAAGTCTTCAAGAACCTCATCTGTCTTCCTGCTTGAAGAGAGGAGTATGTTCCTTTCCCTAAAAGCCAAGCTCACCAAAGCCCAACAAAGGCAACTAGGCAACTTAAAGCACCAGTAACTGAAACCAGCCCCAGTCTTCCTAGTGTTATTTGACTTTGTTCACAAGTCAGCGATGCTGCTTTGAGAGGAATGTGGGGTGAGCCCTCCCAGCTGCACAGAGGCTGAATATCTGAGAACCAAATATTTCAATACGATGTATACTGTGTGTGGAAAAGAGCAAAGGGCTGAATTCTGATTATCAACAGCCAGGGCACGGGTCCAAGTTCCTTAAAACCAAGCCCAGTTCACTAGCCACTCAACCAGACCTTGAAGATCACGGATGATCCTCTGGAGCTGGGTCTCAGCACTGCTAGAAGCCATGGTGTCTCCCTTTCTTGGATGTGTAGGTCCAACACACACTTCAGAGCTGTGTGACTGCCAGTCAGCAGTGGTCACACTCCATGGTGGCACCTGTACAGGGAAGAGGCCACAGTTTAAAGAATGTAGAGAACCTCCACTCTGGGCACAAGGACCCATTAGGTATCTTTCCTTGAAGTGATGAATTGACCTTTTTGTGTGAATCTTGTTAGAAGGTACTCTCAGGTTTGCTTCTGACATACTTATATTCGGACAACATGACATGCTTTAGATTGTTCTGATTGGTTTTTTTTTGTCAACTTGGTACAAGGTAAATTTCGTTTAGTTTTGTTTGTCAACTTGACACAGCTAGAGTTATCGAAAAGGGAACCACAAGTATGAAAATACCTCTTATGACTGGCCTGTGGAGAAGCCTCTGGGGTATTTTCTTATTTAGTGATTGATGTGGGAAGGCCTAGCCTATCGTGGTCCTGGATGGTGTTAGACAGCAGAGGGAACAAGTCAATCAGCACCCCTCTTCCATGGTTTCTGTTCCAATTCCTGCTTTGGCTTAATGACTGGAGAGTTTTAAGATAAAATAAACTCTTTTTTCCCCAAGTTGCTTTTGGTCACAGTCTTTATCACAGTAAAAGAAATCCTAACCAAAACACAGACTTAACAAGATGCAAGATCAACTTAATAGCACAGCTGGTTCTCTCTGAACTGCCCACCATGTCTCTTGGGACAGAACTGCCTCAAATTTGACCCTCAGAAGTCTCCAGTGGCTCCCTTACCTCTTCCCACAGAGTCAGATCTGCTTGTTTCTGACATCACTAAACCCCGAGGAGCCAGCTATGTTCAAAGCCATTTTTTTTTCATATTTCTTTCTAAGGAACAGTCAGAAACTTCTAGTCAGGCAATGTTGAGGGGTGGGAGGGGACAAGAGGTAGGGGATACATACCCTAGGGCTTCTGACAGGGACAGCCTGGCCTGCCTAGTAGAATGTGGCTCCTCCACTGTCAGCACTTTGAGCCTCTTCTGTTCTGTGTTCCACTAAACCCGAGAGTGATACTCCCTGACCTGTCTGTCACCCAGGAGCTTACATAGCCCCCCCTCCAGCCCAGGGACAAGGTACTATTTTAAGCCCAGTTATAGTTTTCTCCAGCTGGAGAGTCCCCTACTTAGGCAGCTGTTAACGTCATTTAAGGACATGGTAGTGTTTTAAGACCAACAAAAAGGAATGTGAACACTTGAAAGGGAATTATGACCATGCATTTGGACATCAAGGCCTTTCAGAAGCTTTAATCTACCCTTTCGGTATCCTGTGTGAAGGCGCAATGTCTGCTGTAAGGATAGCAGCAGCCACATTACTGACAGCCTGTCCAGGGCTCTGGTTCATATTGTACACAGAGCTCTTACTTTTCACATCATTATGGTAAGGTAAACACCTTTCCTATTTACAAAGGAAAATCAGATGTTTTGTAACATAAGGCCCAGGGCCACTGAGTAGAATCGACTTGATTAATGTGCTATGTGATTTCAAACCTGCTGAACCCTTAGGACAGCACAATCATCATTACAGAAAATGACTTAACACTTCTACCGGCTCCTAAGAACCATCTTGAACTTTAGTGATTCCCAATAACATGCCACCCTGAGTGTCTAACATGTGCCAGCTCTCACTCATGCAGTGCTGTCTTCCTTCTGGCTTCAGAAGGCGGGGCAAGGAAGCCCTGGAAAGGAAATGGCCCTAGCCATAAACAACTCCAAATATTTATAAGCATTCTAGGGACTGGTCAGGTCAGCATAGGCTTGTCACTGAACAGATGCCTAGGGTCTATTTTTAACTCACAAGCCAACATAGTTGTGACTCAGTGGAAACACACAGGGCTTCTCAGGCCCAAGAAGAAAGAGCCAGGCACTCAGCTAGACCACAGTCTCACTAATGCATGACACAGACCTTCATAGGGTCAGGGTTCAGGAGTTCTAGAAACATTGTCTATAAAGGCCCCCCAAAAGTACTGGTACCATTTATCAAGGATAATAGACTGGGGACAGGAGTGGTTTATAAGAAGCCTGCTTTCCAATCCAATGTTTCTCCCAGGTCCCATGCTGAACACAGGGACCAGGTAGGGGCCTGCCGTAGCACTAGAGAAGGTCAGAGCCTATGCTCAGTCAGCCTCTTCACACAAGTCCCAGGCAGACAGTCTCTGTCTTAGTTTGCTTTCTATTACTGTGATAAAACAGCAAGACCAACCTGGTTTGTAGTGGCTCATACCTTTAATCCCAGTATTCAGAAGGTAGAGGCAGGTGGATCTCTGAGTTTGAGGCCAGCCTGATCTGTAGAACGTGTTCCAGGACAGCTTGAGCTACATAGAGAAACCCTATCTTGAAAAATCAAAAACCAAACCAAACTAAACCAAAAACCCCTAGCAAGACCAAAAACAACTTATGAAGGCAATGATTTTTTCAGCTTACAGTTGCAGTCTATCATGAAAGGAAATCAGGACAGGAACTTGTGATGGAAATCCAGAGGTAGGAACTGAAGGAGAGGTCATAGAAGCAATACTGCTTACTAGCTTGCTCCTCATGGCTTGCTTAGCAACTGCTTTCTTATTCAACCCAAGACCATTTGCCCAAGGGTGGCAACTGCCTGCAGTAGGCTGGGTCCTTTTCGCACCATTCATTAAGAAAATGCCCCTATAACTTGCCTCTGGGACAATCTGATGGTGACATTTTCTCTACTGAAGTTCCCTCTCCCCATGTAACCCTGGCTTGTGTCAAGCTGACAAAACAAAGAAACAAAAAATGAAATTTAACCAGGACAGTTCCTATTGGTGAGGTAGGGATGACTCTGTATTCTCCCCATTTACTTGTGGCCCTATCATCACCCTTTATTAGATGCTTTGTGAAGGCAGAGAGCCTCACAAGGTACAGCCTAGTTTTGTTGAAGCTGAGCTATTGTGCTGGCTAGTTTTACGTCAATTTGACACAAGTTAAGAGTCATCTGAGAGGAGGGAATCTCAAATGAGAAAATGCTTCCATAAGATCAGGCTGTAGGCAAGCCCGTAGGACATATTCTTAATTAATGACTGATGTGAGATGGCCCAGCTCATTATGTGTGAGGCTATCTGTGAATAACTGGTACTGGGTTCTGTAAGAAAACAGATGAGCAAGTCAAGAGAAGGCAGGAAGCAAAACTTCTCCATTGCTTCTGCATAATTTCCTGCTTCCAGCTTCTTGCTTTGCCCAAGTTCCAGTCCTGATTTCCTTCAATGATGAACAGTGAAATGGAAAAATAAGTCCCCAAGTTTCTTCTGGTCATGGTATTTCATTACAGCAATATTAATCATAAGACAGAAACTGATACCAGGAGTGAGGTTATTGTTTTGCCCATGATGTTTTGGGGAGGTCTGTGGAAGGACTTTGGAACTTTGGGCTAGAAAAGTCATTGAGTGTTGAGACTTGAGTGGGCTTGTCTGTAGGCACTTGGAAGACAATGCTGATGATGGAGGGCTGATGAGAGTCTGTTAAAGACTCTATTAATGCCATTTGCTATTTTGAACTAAGAACCTGTGGTTCTAGTCAGCTGGGGCTGAAGAATTGGCTGTGGTTCACAAGGGATCATCTGAGAGACTCAATTTAGAATCTCAATTTAGAAAATGCCTCTATAAGATCAGGCTGATGACAGATTTGTAGGGTATATTTTAAATTAGTGATTGATGTGGGAGGGCCGCAGGCATTGTGGATGGGGCCACTTATGGGCTGGGGTTCTGGGTTCTGTAAGAACACAGGATAAACAAGCCAGGAGGAACAAGCCAATAATCAGTACCTCTCTGTGGCTTCTGCATCAGCTCCCACTTCTAGTTTCCTACCTGCTTGAGGTCCTGCCATGACTTCCTTCAGTAAAGGATTATAATGTAGAAGTGTAAGCCAAATAAACCCTTTCCTCTTCAAGTGGCTTTTGATCATGGCGAAATATCACAGCAATAGTTGATGGGATTTGTAACCCTATCTAAGAAGCTATCTACCAAGGAGAACAAGAGAAAAATATCTGGTATCCCGACAGAATACAAGTGCCCCACACAGGGCTATGGATAACAACTCCTGGGTACTTGGCAATAAAGAGAAATGAATCACAGAAATTACAACCAGGCATTGAGCCTTCAAGGTGTTCTGAGTTTAAAGAAACCCCTAGGAAGGCTATTTACTTTATGCTTATGTTAATACAATGTTTTTGCAAAGAGAAATCAGAATACTTGTTGCAGAAAATGGGAAACATATGGGTATAACTGCAAAAGGGCAGGTGGTGGTAGAGGAAATAAAACAACTGTGCTCCATGTCTTGTTTAAAGTGGCAAGTGCCAAAATTCACATAATGAGCTGGACTTGGTAGTATAGACCCACAACCCCAACAGTGAGTTCAAATCTAACCTGTTCTATAGAAACAGCTTGGGCTATACAGCAAGACTCTATCGCAAAACAAAAACCAGAGGGCTGGAGATATAGTACTACTGGTAGTGCTTGCCTAGAATGCTCAATGCCACGGGTTCAAAGCCCAGAATTGAAAAACAACCAACCAACCAACAAACCCAAAACCAAAAAAACAAAAACAAAACTCCCCAAACATCAACAACAAAAAACCAGGAAAAAACCCACAAACCCCAATAGTAATAAATAAAAACTTACCTAACTGTGAACCCAACAGTAATACATAAAAACTCACCTAACTGTGAATTGTATCTCCCCTTAAAGCAGTAGTGTGATAATTTTTTAAAATATGAAGGGAACTCACATGGGGACAATTTACTTCTTTATGCTGAAAGGAGTGAGTGACAGACTCTCTGTGATGACCGCCGAGTTGCTAGGATGTCGCTGAAAAGAAGCAGGTAGAAGTGAGGCCAGATGGAGGTATAGTGACAATAAAGGTTACAGCTTTCCTACACCACTTACTTCATTGTTGCCAACCCAGGGGATGTGGCTTCCACATGCACCCTTATTTCATGAGGCCCATGGCTGTGTGCACAGGCAAAATAAGGACTAAATGAGGCTGAGGTGCATGTTTCTGGGGGAGGGGTGCTGGGGAAGGAGGTAAGAACAACCGACTGTAGCTAACATCCAGGCTGGGGGTGGGACCGTGTGTGTATCACACAACCCACTGAATTTCCTGGATTCTAGCTATTTGGAATCTGGCCTTAAGGAAAAGATGTATGTCAACTAAGCCAAGATCTTGGCACAAGGAGGCTGTATAAACACAAAAATGGACTCCTGTATGGTTTTGCAGCTGAGCTGGGTGTGGTGGTGCACACCTTTACTCCTAGCATGAGGCAGAAAGAAGTATATTTCTGTGAGTTAGAATCTAACCTAATATATATAGTAAATTCCAGGCCAGCCAGGACTACATAGTGAGACCCTGTTCCAAACAAACAGACATTCAGACAGACAAACAACAACTAAACTTTGTGGTGCTTGAGAGCTGCTGCCCATTGTTCATGGAACAACAACTTGTCCATGGCATTCTCTATGGGACCGAATTTTGGTTGTACTTGGTTGGTATCAAGTTCCCAGGTCACAGGATGAGCTGGTCCCCACCACTGATTTCACATGCTGGTGTTCCAGAGTTTATGACAACCTTCCTAATGCTATGACCCTTTAATACAGTTCTTCATATTGGTGACCTTCAAATGCTTTAAGCTATTCAACTTTCTGGCAAAGAAGAGACTAAATACATATGAAATTATTATTTTTTCCTAGGACCAAGTACTGAGTTTTTGGACATGACCAAGGAATTCTTTAGAGATAAAGATGATCTCTGATTTCCAAATGAACGCTACACCTGCCCAGACGCCCTACATGCTATAGACATCACATACAATATATTAATTCCAAACTAAAAAACAAAGATACTCGCTCAGCCTAAGGCTTACTTACACCATGGTTTAAATGACTAGTAGTCACAGTGTTGCCTGCCAACCGACTCAGGTGTGATACACAGTGTCTGAGGAACCACACCAAGAAGAATCATAAGGGGAGGTACTAGAATGTGGGAGTTAACCTTGCCATGCTTTCCTAAGACAACAACTAAGAAATGACCCAGAGAGAAGAGGGTATAGCTAGATTCCTCCCAAGCCCAAACGAAACAAAACAATTGTAAATTCCACTTCGATCAAAAGAAAAAAATGATGTCAAAAGGCAGATGGCCTTTATGGAAAAGAAAATAGCCTTGACCTGGTTCAACACACCCAGCAGTTATATCTGGTCACAAACAACAGAGATAGGTGCCTTTTTTTGATTGGTACCTGTACCTTTCAAGGCCAGGAGGTCCCAGTGGCTTGAATTGGAAACTGTTGGTGAGCAGGCAGGCCGCCCTCACCAGAACTTCACTAAGAGACTATGGTACTCTGTGGGGTTTCCAGGGCCCAGCACAGCGGCAGGCATTACAGCACATGTGAGCAAAGGTTCATTAGGTGACCCAACTCCTTGGACCGATAATTAAAGCATTTCCCAGTTGCATGCCTGAAACACCTCTTCTGAACCCTCCCTCTTGTAATCACTTTTTAGAGGGAATGAGAATTTACGACACTGTCATTGTTTCTTGAATTTTCTCTTGGACCCTTCCGCTCAACAATTATAAGAAGTTCCTTAGTCATTTCCCTAAAGCACAAACAAACCAGCCACAATTTGGCCCATGGATTCAGAACAGGGTCAGAAAGATCTGAGCCCAGGACAGTTGCCTTGGACTTAAGAGAATATGGGTGTCTTATTTATTTTTATTGCATTGGTGTTTCGCCTGTATGTATATCTTTAGGAGGGTGTCAGATCCCCTAGAATTGGAGTTACAGACAGCTGTGAACTGACATGTGGATGCTGGGAACTGAAACTGGGTACTTTGGAAGAGCAGCCAGTATCCTTAACTGCCGAGCCATCTTCTAGCCCCTCCAGATGTCTTTTAAAGAAAACAGACAATGGCTCCAAAGAAAAGGCTACATGTCTGTCCTTGGGGCCAGAGCCATAGTTCCACTGTTGGAAAGCCCAGGGAAAACAACTAGGAAGTAAGGATGAGACATGTTCCCAGAACTACTTCAACAATGAACAATGGACTGGCCCCTAACAAAGATACATGTCACCAACGTGAGGGAATGGCAGATGACAAAGACACAACCTCCAGGGTCTTTGCTTGACCAGAATGTCAAAGGGTCAGTGTAGACGACTGCAATTTAAGAACTGAGTCTTTGACAGTATATGGCACTGTTCCTCACAGTTACCTTCCTCATTGCTACTAGAAGACACTTGACAAAATGGGGAGGATTGATTCTGGATTACAATTCAAGCAGATACATTCTATCACAGCAAGAAAGGCATGGCAGGATGACCTGAAGGCTGGCTGGTCAGCATTTAGAGAGCAGAGTGAGCAGGAAATGAGCACCTCAGGTTTTGCCTCAGGTGATCTACTTAATCCAGTGAGATTCCACCTCCCAAAGGATTCACAGCCTTCTCAAACAGCTCTGTCAGGTAAGGGATGTGGGTCCAAACACCTGGTTATGGGGTACACATCACATTCAAACGACAACAGCCACTAAGCATGGCCTTGAGGAAGCTCAGGTAACCTCTGGTGCTAACAAGTAGTATTTTGGGGCCGGGCGGTGGTGGCGCACGCCTTTAATCCCAGCACTCGGGAGGCAGAGGCAGGCGGATCTCTGTGAGTTCGAGGCCAGCCTGGTCTACAAGAGCTAGTTCCAGGACAGGCACCAAAAACTACAGAGAAACCCTGTCTCAAAAATAAAAAAAAAAAAAACAAGTAGTATTTTGGGGCACAATTATTAAGGAAGAAGGTCTCATTCAGGAGTAGGGGGGTTACAACTGTGAACAACAGCGGTGGTAGGGAATCTTGGCTTTTAGGAATTTAGCACAATGGAAAAAAAAGACATGTCTCCATATCTTAGAAATGAGAAAAATCATTTGAGGCCTGATAAATACTTTGACGAAGACAAACTGTCCAGTGCTCACTATTCTAAGCCTTTGTTGCAGAGTCTCACTCTTCTTCTATGGCTCTTTGTACTATTTTTATTACAGTACTTTACCTGTTAATCATTATTCTTTCGACCTGTCCTATAACTCCATTGTTCACAGTTCCCCAGTTCCTAGTATAGTTCAGGTATATGAAGAATTCTCAGTAAGTTACTTGCCAAATGAATGAGACAATATAGATCTTCAGTACATAAACCAAATAAAACCTTGGGTAATTAAAATATGTCAGAAAGTAAATAATAATATTTCAAATAGTGGAAACAATCTAGACATTTGTCCTTATACAATGGATAAGTGTAGTCTTGATCCCTCATAAGGAAATTTTTACAACAGATGGAGATCACTAGAGAGAACTACAACCAATTTAAATGCGAAGTTGTGGAGCCCAGTCCCAATGGCTACGTCTACGAAACAACTCGTGAACAAAAGGCCCAGGGTACATTGTAAGAGGCAGGGGATTTGGGACTGTGTCTCCTAGTGATGTAGAAGCTATACCAAGTTTCACCAATATGTCTGCTTAAATGTGAGCTGAAAAAGGACAACGACAGAGAACGTGTCAAAGTGGACATGGGAAAGCCCATGAGGCCTCAATTGTACATATTACAGACAATTAGAGAATGCTGAGAATGGGAAAATAGTCTTTCCCAGGGAAGAGTATACCAGTTGGTTATTCAATACCAAGTTGTCAGTCCTGAAAACATTCATATGAGTAATGTCATTCAGACTGAGCAGGTTATATTTAGGAACATATGTCACGTAACAACAATCAATGAAAGAAGAGGTCATGAATTTGAAAGACAGCAAAGAGGGGTATAGGAGAGGGTTTGGAGGGAGGAAAGGGAAAGGGAAAATATTGTAATTATACTGTAATCTCAAAATAAAATAAGAATCAGGAAAAAGTTATACTTCTTCAATTTTAAAATGTTTTCTTGTTGAGCACAATTTTATGTGCATAAAAAACCCACCATGTAACTGTGGAGATTATATTGTCCTTACTGTGAGACTCTTATAGAACTACTATTCCAAGAATGAGAGGAATAACATAATTCAGGGATGGACTAGGAGCATGTCCTCTGCCCTAGCCTGTATAAACAGACCCACAATGTTCTGAGTGCTTACGGGATTTCTCTAAGACCTGTGGTTCACGTCTCAGTCTGGGACATATGGTCCCGTATTCTGGGGTGACAGTACTGTCCACTAATCCTTTTTTAGCTGTGATGGCCTGAACTACCCAGAGTCAAGGCTCAAGCACCAGGTTTCGATGCTCTGCGCCCTTTATCAAGACTGAGCTCTGCCTCATGCTCCCTAAACCTTCCCCCAAACAAATCCTCTAGTCTTTCTGGTCTTTCTTTGGATAGAAAGAAGTGTGTATCACAGTTTGTTCTCTAAAAAGTCTTCCTCAGAAATCAGTACTTGATCCAGAACAATAATTAGTACACCCACTACTGGTCCCCAGTAACCTAACCTTCTTGTTAGGGGCAGTGTTGTGTCTTTTGTATTTGAAGACAGGATCTTTAGTAGAAAAATATCTGCGATTTAATGAAGTTTTGATGATAGGTCCCGATCCAGTTTGATCTGTGTTTTTTATAAGGGGAACTACGAATACATAAAATACTACAGCTATGTGAATATAGTGAGAAAGTGGCCAGATGCAAATGAAAAGAGGCCTCAGGACCAGTCAAATCTTTACCTAGGACCCCAGAGTTGCAGCAAAATAAGTTTCTGTTGTTTAAGCCTAATTGTGGCATTTTGTTGTGGTGGCCTAACAGGCAACACATTTCCCCAGAATCATTTTCCAATCCCAGATGTGTGGATCTAACAATATCAACTAGGCAGATGGGGGTGGGCTGGTATCTGGAGTCTAGGTTCTGGTGTGTCTCTGAGACATGACAGAAAACGAATAAAACCAAGACCCAGGGTGGCTGAAGCTTGAACAAGGGGCAATTGACATAACACTTTCCCTTATCAGGCATAGGTGAGTTCTGTTCATTTGTACCCTGTTCAGACTTTTAGACTGTTTATGTGAACTTTATTATTCAACAAATAATGTGATGAGGATCATGGCATGGTTAGATGAGACTCAATGTACATTTATCTCACTTGAAGTCATCTGACCACTTTGTATCATGTTTTTCAGATGTAGTTTGGGGAGGGGGGCTAGGGGAGTAACCTTTATCTTCTTTCACATGAAGATTAAGAATTGCTATGCTTGGAGAAAGTAGGAAAGGGAAAGAATAGATGTTCACAATGGCTAACTTTGGCTAAGATTTAAAGCATCTTCTCTATGTTCCTGACCAAGTCTTCTGTTGTCCTGGAAAAAAAAATATCCAGGGCTAGTTGGTGTGGTAGCATATGCCTTTGATTCCAGCACTTGGGAGGCTGAAGCAGTAGGATCTCTGTGAGTTCAAGGTCAACCTGGTCTACAAAGCAAGTTCCAGTACAGCTAATGCTGTTACATAGAAAAACCCTGTCTCAAAAAATCAAAACTAAAACCCATCCAGGACTATAGCTTCAGCTTCAGCAAATTTTTTACAGTTTCATTTCAACTGACAATCACTAGTTTCAACTGTACAGAATTACACTGAATCTCTTCAGGAATTCTGCTCTTGGCCTAGCTTCAAGCATATGAAAAGTTTGCTTGGACGGCTCTTTTGGTTCAAGATTTTTAGATGCTAAGAAATCCCTGAACGTGATGTCCTTCTCAGGCCAAAGGTGCAGTACCTCAGGCTACTGGTTGGGTAGACCAGCCCATAGGTACTGAAACCAACCACTAGGCCACAGTATTAGTAATGAAACCACAGATTCTCTTATGCTTTCCTCTGAACCACAGTGCGCATATATCCTCATCCTTACCACTATGACCCGAACCAAATGAAAATGGTCCCTTGGTGCTGTCCGATTGCCCGAGAGCCTCATGAACAAAAAGGACCATTGGTGACCACTATAAGCACCAGGTTAAGTGGCTCCCATGTTGGGGAATGGGAGTTGGATGAGCCATGTTCTTAGGCTGATATAGACACTTCAGTTAATTCTAGTAACTAGAAAGTAGACAGTATTTTTCCATGTGTAGACCCACAGAAACATCCTAATTTTTACCCTACAGGACTGCTCAAATTGAGGTTCAAATGCTACTTGAAAGAAGCAGGAACATAATAGCCACATAGGTGATCAGATGTCAACATGAACACAGGCAACTGTCCTCTGCTTATAGGTACCTCTGGTAGGTACCTATAAAAGTACAAACACTAGATATGACCCTTTCTGCTGCCAGGGGATACTTGTAGTGAATGTGACTCTGAATTCTTGAAATCTACCAGTGGTTTCCACCATGAGATCATAGTTAGTCAACACACTTCCTCTAGCTCATATTGATACATTCCGGTTTTTGAGTTATCAATATCTTGCTTTTGGAATCTCCAGAAATCAGAGATGACGTATCATTCAACCCTCCCCTGTAAAGCAAGGGAAGCCAGGACTGGGGGCTGACATTTCTTGAGTACTCTGTGTTCTGACAGCAGCAGGCCTCCAGTCTCAAGGACCAAGATAGGTCAAGGCCACCAGATGTTACTGATGATCTTGCTATTACAAGTGCTGTCTTTTATCTTACCCTAAAGAACTGGGCTAAACACTAGGCTCTTAAGCCATTCTGGTATCCTAGCCCCTGCCATAAGGGGCAAAGGAGCCCGAGACCATTTCCAAATTCTAAAGCAACTACAAAAATAAAGTAAAATATTAAGAACATATAGACACACACACACATACACATATGGATGACATACATATGGACTGTACATGTTACCTATTTTCTTATAAAATAAATAATCTTCTAAATAAATGAAGTGGTATATACAGAGATGAACACTAAACAATAGCAGATAAACCCTGCTTCCTAAAGCAATAGTCTTTTCAGATCCCTTTAGAAAAGGGAGGCCAAAAGTCAGCACTGTGCTGATTTCCCGGATGCGAACAATCCCGACCCATAGCTACTATTCTGCATTTCAACACAGAACTGGTTGTCAAAGAGCCAGAGGGTCAGGGGGCATCAATCTGATCCAGAAGGTTACAACACTAAAGACACAAACCTGCGGCTCAACATCCTTTCCCTGCATCCAGCAGCAGCAGGCAGATGGCAGAGGAATTAACCTTGCCTCAGACCACAAGGCCCATTGCTGAGAGAGGCTTGTAAGTAGATTAAACCCTGATCCTCTGCCTCTAAAAGCCCCTGACCCATTTCTCTGTCTGGAAAGAAAACTGCCACGGTAAATCAGACAAGCAGAGAGTCAGAAAGACTCTGATCAACATAGGCAATATCAACAAGTGCTGGTTTTCTGAGGAGAGACAGCAGTGGAAACACTGAACAGAGACACAAGGAATCGTTAAGTGCATTAATAGGAAGCTATGTGGCTTCAGTGTTACCACATGTTCTACTCTTTTATAAACATAGGATATCGCCCCGCCCCCACCCTCACCCCTAGCCTGGGTGCTAACAGGACAAGCTCTCACAGCCTGGTGCTACCGCACTAGATACACTAAAGTTGTCCTACAGGTGTTTCCAGAAACTTCACCGCAGAGCTATTTTGAAACCCTGTACCTGAGCACAAGGGCAGTGGGTAAGTTCAGCGAGGACACTGAAAGGAACAAACTGTCCTTCCTGCATTGAAGGGACATCAGCGTCTTGCAAAGAGGAGGAGTTGGCTTCCTGAAGGCTAAGCCCCAATGCCCGCGAGAACTCTAGGCTTTAGCTCCTGTGCCAGAGGTTTCTGGGGGGGGGTACTGCCGAAGCTCCGCCTCACAGGGTGGCCCCTCTGCTGGTTCAGGTCTTGAAACAGTGTTGAAGGTCTTTTTAGCCGACCCCACGAACAGCCCGGGTACTAAAACTAGATCCTCTGACCAGAAGGTTCTCCCGACGCGACGGACGTCCTGGGTGGGAGGGGATAGCCTCGGCAACAGGTGACTACCCACGCCCCCGAGAAACCTCCGAGCCGGGGTCCAGCGCGGCCCTAGTGTACCCGAAGTCTCTCCGGTCGCCCGCGGCACTTACACGCTCGTGGGTCCACCGCCGGGCAGAAACGAAACTTTCTAGGGCCGAGCGAAAGAGTAGGAGAGTGTAGTGCCAGCGGCCATGAAGCGCACAGAACACCCAGAGCGCGCGCGGACTACGACTCCCGGCATGCTCCACGGATGGCCTACAGCTTCCATCGGGTGTCACCGGCCGGTGAACTCCTACTACGACTCCCGGCATGCTCCACGAGATGGCGTTCCTTTGGCGTAGCCTGAGCAAGCTTTGCATACAGTTGGCTACTTGCAATATGAATGATTGACTTTGAACTGTGTATGAGCCATACATATAAAATAATGTACCTGATTCAAAAATTCCCCAAACAATGTAAAAATAGCGCATTAACATTTTTGTGCTATTAATTTTTACTTTTTGAACTAAGAAAATGAACCTACTACGTATTGCTGAACCTAAATTCTCAGTTTTTGATTCTTCTGATTAACAGAGACATAAAATTAGTGTTTGAAAGTATGTGCTATTGAACTACCTACCATGCTTAGCTTCCTCAATTGTATTGAAACGCATCCTGAAGCCTGATGCGATGGAATGCTGCATTCCAAGACCAGTATCAATGAACATGCTAAAGAAAAGGGAGAGTACAGAAGATGTCAGCCTGAGGTTAGGTTCTGCTCCTTAACTCTGGCCAGCCAGCCCTCCCTCTGCCTACATCTTGCCGTTTTAGTTAGAAATTCCTGTCTGCCTCACAGAACTAGACTCACTAGTGGCATCTGCCAGACCTCAGTGGTTCAGGTTTTCAGGATAGATTCACACAGGTTTTTCAAGACAGGGTTTTTCTGTGTAACATTCCTGCCTGTCCTGGAACTTGATTTGTAGATCAGGCTGGCCTCAGACTCACTGAGATCGCCTGCCTCTGCTATCTCAGGTGCTGTATAAAGGCGTGTGCCACCAATGCCCAGTGGACAAAGATTTCTTAGTTATTTTCATGTTTTACATGAGATGTATATGAGATAACATACTAACTTGATGGAGTAGGCAGGTTGTGAATGGGAATAAAAAGGAACCTCCTGACAGAAATGATTCCCTTTTCTGTTAACAAAGAAGAACAAAAAAAAAAAAAAAAAAAAAGGAGAAGTGGGCGGAGATGACAACAGAAACAAAGAATTATCAGAAAGAAAAACTTGATCCAACCGCAGTCTGAAAACTTTGGCATATTAAGGATGAGAGAGATTTCAAGCACCCTTGCTTAAAACTTAGACCCTAAATAAGTTTACAGAGAAGAGGAAGACAAGTCTTGAACAGTGATATGTTTTATAAGGGTAATGTTGCATTTTGAGAATTTCATAGTTAGGCAATTCATCTGGAGTATATTAAGATGACTATGACAGTACTAGACAATTTAGTCTTAAGGGATCACAATCATATATGCTCCAACATTGACCAAAATATTGTGCAGCAGATGACTGTATATATTAAGAACCTAATATGTCATACCCTAACCAAAAACCTATACAGCATTGTGTTTAAAACTCACCATAGCTCTGTGGGATAAGTAGGATTCATTTCTGTACTTCAAAGCGGAGGAGACTGAGGCTCAGAGAGGTAAAAGAGTAGCAAATCTGCTTGGCTAATGAACAGAGCTGTGAACTAGGATGGAGTGAAAGGTTCCTGAGGCATTTCTGCCCAAGACATTGTCAGATACACAAAATGCTCAACTTTATCTACAAAGGAAAGAGGCCAGACGAAGGCAATGGATTCCCCTAAAGTATAACTGGTCTTTCTTTGAACCATCAGCTCCCAAATAATGACACGGACATTTTTTGTTAATTATGAAAGCTTGCCCTTGTTAATAATCTATTTTTTTCCTAGCAACTAGCTGTTCTCTGGCCTGGTCTCTGGCCTCCATCTTTGGAGGCCCCGCCCCTGTGCCCACCAAACTTTGACCCCTCCCCTGAGAAGGGGCAAGGAAACCTGCCAAACCCTGACCACTCCCCCAGTCTATTTAAACTGTCCCAAGTCCCTGGGTGGTCTCCCCCCTACCACCCCCGTGGTCGCATTTGTGGGCAGAGCGCAGGAATCTCATTAATTCTGGATACCTTTTAATTCTGCTTGTGATTTGGCCTGATTGGGATTTTTGTGTCTGCAGAGAGCTCGCGTATTTAAACTGCCCCCCCACCCGAAAACAGGCACATGGGTTTTGGTCTCTCTTTTCCATCTCCTCTCTGGGGGAGCTGGAAATTCATCCAGACTCATTTTACTCATTAAACCTGAACTTTTTCTAATTTAGTTTGATTTGGTCTGATTTGGATTGCTGAGTCAGTGGAGAGGCTTATCAGGGTGAAGAAACTTTTCAGGCCTTAGCTTAGGCTTGCTCCCAACTAGCTCTTAAAATGTAAATTAACTCGTTTATATTAATCTAGGTTCTGTTATGTGGCTCCTTAAGCTCTCCTCAGTACCACATGCCCTACTTCCTCTGGGTCTGCTGGAGAATCCCCCTCATCAGACTCTTTCCCAGAGTTTCTTTCTCTCCCTGGAAGTCCCACCTATCCTCTCCTGCCTAGCTATTGGCCATTTACTTCTTTGTTAAACCAATCAGAAGGTGCAGCAGGAAGGACAGAGCCCCATCTTCATGCAGCATACAAAAAAATATCCAACACTGGAACTGGGGATTAAAAATGGTTGTGAGCCACCATGTGTGTTCTGGGTACTGAACCTGGGTCCCCTGGAAGAGTAGCCAGTACTTTTAACTGCTGAGCCATCTCTCTATCCCCTTGAAAGTTGCTTCTTCCTGATAAAGTATAGCTCTTTATGGCTTTACTTTTATTTTTCATTAATTCTTTAAAATCTACTGTTATATGATTTTATTTATTTTTGGTTGAAAGAACAGGATCTGAGTTCTACCTCTGGCCATGGATGCAGACATAATAGTCCAAACTGCCCGGAGGGGCATTGTGGTGGAGTCACCTTCTATTACCAGGGAGATCTGGGTTATTTCTTGGGGTTCTTAGCTTCACTAATAAAAGAATTTAATAAATAACTCAGAAGGAGTCTTATGGACAATTTTATTAAAGTTTCAAAGTAAAAACCTGTAAATCAAAGGAAAATCCCAGGCAAGCAGTTTTCTGGAGAGGGGGGGAAAAAGCAAGCAACAGGAAGACACTGTGGAGTAGAGGTCCTTGGAGAGATGAAGTCATGGGTATGTGATCATGAGAATAAGCTGGAGAAATGCTGGAAAGGCAGAACCTAGAGGACGTGGCTCTGGCAGCTTAGGGAGAAGGGATGCAGCGCTTGAGGGAAATTCAGCTTTGGAGAATGATCAAAAGGGGAATGCTGGCACTATCATCCAGATGGTAGGAAGTCAGCTTTCTCCCAGTCTGGAAGAGATGAAACGACAGTGGAATCTTCAACTTGCATGCCTTTGTTAAGTGATCTTTGCTTTATCCGAACTTTCATGGATGTATTGGTATCACCTGGAAGTTAGCAACAATATCTTATTCATCTTTGTATTGTCTAAATAATTACTTAGTGCAGATGGTAGCACATATTGCATTCAATTATGGGGTAAATATTTAAAAACTAGTTTGTGTGTTAGCAGCTGTTGCCAGAATACAGAACTTTTTTCAATTTAATGGGATTTTATGGTCTAGACTTCATTGTGACTGTACTTATTTGAGGATGTAATTATTCTTGTCCTGAAGACATTTTCTCCAGAAGTTGTAAGAAGTACAGAACCAGACACCACCAAAAAACAAAACAAAAAAACTAGTTGGGACAATCTTATGTGCCAGCAACCTCATTGTACAGTTAACACATACTGAGAGTTTGAACCTTCCCACTTTCTGGAAATTCGTCTATTTAGCATCTTCTGATCAATCACTAATAAGCAATCTATGTCTAAGTGAGAGAATGAATGATGAACCAAGTCCAGGAAGTATTGCTTTGGATTGCCCAGCTGGAAGCCACTTTCCCACAGCTGTCATGTGGTGCGGGAGAATTATCTGTATTCTGTCAATCATGTATTTTAATAAAACGCTGATTGGCCATGCAGGAAGTATAGGTGGGTCAACCAGACAGGAAGTAGAGGCAGAGTAATGAGAATAGGATAAGGCTAGGGAGGAGAGAAGTTCCTCAGCCACTCCTACGCAGATCACTGAAGAGACAGCATGTAACTTGCCCAGCTGAGAAAGGTACGGAGCCATTATGGCTAACATAGATGAGAATAATGGGTTAATATAAGTTATAAGAGTTAACAAGAAGCCTGACCTAATGGGCCAATCAGTTTATAACCTTATGGAGTCCTGTGTGTAATTTCTCTTTGGGATTTGCCGGCTGTTGGGGTACCGGGCGGGACGGAAACCCCAACAAGCCGGCCCTCATGCTACAGTCATGTCTTTCCTCCACACCCTGGCATCTCCACTGTTGTGTCTTCTGCAGGGTTCCTTTCTGATCCATTTCTCCTTGCCTTCCTCCAACTTCCCTAGTCACCTCTGTGCTGTGTGCCCATCTTCTCCTCTCAGTAGAAGGAGGGGCCCTCATACGTAAATGCACCAGGGGAATAGGAGGGTAGGACAGGGCTGGATGTCTTCTGCCAGCACAGCCGGACCTGCTGGAGAAGACTTTTTAGGTGTCTGCGAAACTTGACCCCAACAAAGACATAAAGCACTGGGTTGAAGCAGCAGTGGGAGAAGGCCAAATTGCGGCTGATGAGCTTAGCCATGTCTAGCTGCTGCTTGCTCTTACAGGTCTGCAGCATGATTTGAGTTTTCTCCAGTGTCTCTAGGAAGAGGATGAGGTTGTAAGGAGCCCAGCTGAGGAAGTATGCCACCACGACGGTGAAGATGAGCCTGACTGTCCGGTGCCTCTGTCTGGACTTTGAACGAAACAAGGTTCTGAGGATCTGTATGTAACAGAACAGGATGATCCCCATGGACAGGAGGAAGAAGATGTTGTGCTGGTAGACTGAGGCCAAGAGCCCACGAAGTTCAGAATAAGAACATTGTGAGTCAATCACCTTGTGGAAGATAGCCTCGGGGATGGAGGACAGGACGCTGACGACCCACACAGATGTGATCACCAGCACACGGCAGCGGAGGGAATGGATGCCCAGAGTTGATATGGGGCTCACTACAGACAGGTAGCGGTGGATGGTCATAATGGTGAGAAAGAAGATGCTGCTGTAGAGGCTGATGGAGAAGATTAGGTTGAGGAGCTTGCAGAAAAAGTCACCTAGCAACCATTTCTGAAGTTGTGCTAAGATCCACACAGGCAGCAGGCAGGAGAAAATAAGATCCGAGAGACACAGGTTGAGGATGAAGATATTGGTGAGTGACTCTAGATTCTCATACTTCACCAAGACCCAGAAAACCAGGCTGTTACCCATCAGGCTGAGGAATAACACCAGAGAGTACAAGAGAGCAGTGAATAATCTTGCAAAGTGGATCTTCCTCTCACATAGCTCACTCTGAGGATCATACTCATACTCAGAGACTGTAGAGGTCTCCATTTGGATCCAGGAGGCAGGGATGCTGGCAACATCTGAAATGATAGACGTGTGGGATTTAAATCCATATGGTTGGAATAGAGATAATTAGGACCCATGTTACAAAAAAAAGTAAGGTCCATGGACCAGATTCCATTGGTGAACTATTTATAACAAGATTGAGAATTGGGCCATTACATCGTCATTAAGGAATATTTCTCTTTCCCATAGAAAAATTTTCTTGACCAAGGACATACAATGCTAATTTATATTCCGCCATAAGCCCCCTTATCCTGGTAGATTGGCAACTGTGAAGTCCCAAGATAGCTCAAGCTCACAGTAGATGGAGGTGAAAAGAGAACTTGAACTGGACTGAGAGACTTGAAACTAAAGTGGATTCCACTATTGTGCCTTTGTGCCAATTTTTAAAACCCTTCCAAGCCTTTAGTTTCTTATATAAAAAAGGGCTCATGTTCCCAGATTCATTCATTCAATTGCTCAATATAGCAATTCATTCAAACGCTAGAGAGCATTTACTCAATGTCATTATTCAATAAATGACGAGAGGGCGTTGTGTCTGTCTGTCTTCCCTCTCTTTCTCACTTCCCGCTCTGTTTCCTTTCACTTTTTTCATTCTCTCTCATTTTTCTGTTCATAAGGTGCATAGATCTTGATAAAAGACTTGCATTGAAAATTTTTTGCTTTCTTGGGACAGCCTGAAAAGGCGAGAGTACAAGCAAATAAAGCAAAACAATACCGAGGTTACATTTTGGAAGGCCAAAAATTCTGGAAGGTCAAATCTTTGCTAACACAGAGGATTAACTCTCAGGGAAGAAAGCTTCTTCAGTTGAAAGTTTAGTTTACAGGTCTTATTGAGGTGAGCACGTGTCTGGAGCAGGCAAAGAGGAAAGCGGCTCAGAAAACTATACTGAGCCAAACGTATTCAGCTTTCTGTGGTAACTGGTTACTAGAAACAGTGAGATGAGAAGGCTGGAGAAATGACTGGAAGGGCTGGAATTTTCATTTTGATATGTTGTGGAAGCTGCTGGGCCATATAAGAAGAAGAGTGGAAAGCTTGAAGCAGCAGCTATCTGAGTCAGGTAAGCATGTTCTCACCACCTGCTGTGTGGGGAGTACTGTGCCTATATACCATAGCAATTCCCCGTGATCCTGCAACTTGCTGTAAGATATATCTACCTCCATTTCATAGGATAGGAAAGTGGGTCAGACTGGTGAAAACACCTTCTCAGCATTATTAAAACCAGGTAGCTGGAGCAGCTAAGACTGCAACTCAAACTCCTATGTTCTTGTATTTTGAGGAAAACAATTGGAGAAATAGACTGAACTTCTCAAATATTAAAGTTGAAATAGGCTGGGCATGGTAGTACATGCCTATAGATTGACTATTCGGGGACTAAGGTGTGTTGTGTCAGAATAAAACAGCATGGTTGGGACAAAAAAAGAGACATGTAGATCAATGGAATAAATAGAGAATCCACACAACTATAACAACATACCAGATTTTTGACAAAAATATATGAAAATCATATATTGGAAAAAGTTAGTCTTTTCAACAAATTGTCCTGGGAAAACTTGTTATCTACATTTAGAAAAATAAGCTAGGTGGTAGAGGTGCACACCTTTAATCCCAGCACTCAGGAGGCAGAGGCAGGCAGAGCTCTCTGAGTTTGAGGCCAGCTGATCTACAAGAGCTAGTTCCAGGAGAGGCTCCAAAGCTACAGAGAAACCCTGTCTCAAAAAACAAAAACAAAAACAACAATAAACAAAGCAAAACAAAACAAAACAACCCCCCAGAGCCCCCAAAAAACAACAACAAAAAATAAACTAGATCCCAATAAAAAATGCTTCAAAGTGGATTAAATACTTTAATGTAAGACCTGAACTTCTGAAACCATTAGAAGAAAACAGAGAAAGCACTTCGAGATTTGTTATAGGAGACCTTTTAGAAAAAGACTCCAGTAGCTCAGAAAATAATATAATAGACAGATGTGGTTGCATGAAATTACAAAGCTTCTCCATAGCAAAGAAAATAATCAGAGGAAGAGATGGCCTATAGAGTGGTATATATTTGACAGAAGATTAATATATATACACATATGTATATGTATATATATAAAAGGAATTTTTAAGAACTAAATACTAAAAACCCAAACAACTCAATCAATAAATTTGCTAATGAAATGAGCAGACAGTTATCAAAATATGAAGTATGAATGGCCCAAAACATATAAAGAATATTTAACATTGTTAGGGATCAGAGAAATGTAAATTAGAACCATATTGATATTTCATCCCCCAGTCTGAATACCTATCATTGTGAAAACAACAGATGGTGGTGAGGGTGTGGGGAGAGAGGTGCCCTATTCAGTGCTGATGGGGATGTCAAGGGTTACAGCACTATGTGAATCATTATAGAGGTTCCTCAAAAACTAAAAGCAAAACTACCACATGATCCATTCCTGAGTACATGCTCAAGGAACTGTAAGTCCATACAACATAGAGATACCTGTGCATCTATGTTTCTTGTAACACTATTTAGAATCAGCTAATTGTTATCTATTAATTGATGAACTAGTAAAGAAATATATGGCTTGTATAGTATTGTGGTTTGAAAGAGAATGGCCCTACAGTCTCATATATTTGAATGCTTAGACACCAGTTAGTGGAAGAGTTTGGGAAGAATTAGGAGGTGTGGCCTTATTGGAGTTGATGTGTCAGTGGGAGTAGGACTTGAGTTTTCAGAAGCATAATCCAGACCCAGTCTCTCTCCATCTGCTACCTGCAAATCAGAGTGTAAAACTCTTAGCTATTACTATAACACCATGCCTTTCTGCTTCCCACACTAATGACCATGGCCTTGCTCTCTAAAACTAGTAAGCAAGTCCAAATCAAATGTTTTCTTTTACAAAAGTTGTCTCCATCATGGTTTCTTTTCACAGCAATGGAACAGTAACTAAGGTATATAACACAGTGGAGTTTTATTCACCCATAAAGAAAAATGATATTAAATCATTTGCTGGAAAATGGTTGCCATTGGACATCATTGTACAAGCAATATTGTACAAATACTGCCTTGAAGAACCAGATAGCCAGGGTTGGGGCAAAAAAAAAAAACTACTGGAAAGTGAGGAGTATAAATCACAAAAGAAAAAAAAAGATAGAAAGCCCCATATTTTGTCTATATATTCTGCTCAAATGGTATTTTTTAACCATAAATGTACTGATGGTATCTGAAAGAACTGAATTGATATCTGAAGTGCTGCCCCCTCCAGGGGAGGCAAAACTTAGTGTTAGAAATTTTTTCAAATATTTGAGGAAGAAATAACACTAATCTTCCACGAATATCGGAAATTTATGAGGCAAGTATAAACATGATACCAAAATCAGACAAAAAATTTACAATAAAAACTACAGATTAATAGTCTTCTTGAATATAGACACAAAAATTCTTTTACTTTTTGAAAGAAACTGGTCTTAAACTCATTATATAGCTAAAGCTCTTTAACTTCTGATACTCCTGGCTCTTCTTCGAGATTGGTAGGATTCAAGGCCTGTTACCCTATGCCAGGCTATGCAATGCTGAAGACTAAGTCCAGAACTTTGTCTAGGCTAGATACATGTTCTATTAGCTGAGCTACATCTCTATCTCAACACAAAAATTATTTCCAAAATGTAAGTTAACTTCAATAATACATTTAAATTATTTATTTATTTGTGTTTATGAGTGTATGCATCACATGGTTGCCATGCTATGCATTTGGAGGTCAGGGGACAACATGTGGAAGTTGGTTTTCTCCTACCAGGTGAATCCCTGGAATAGAACTCAGGCCATGAGGCGTGATGCAAGCTCCTTTGTCTACTGGGCCATCTCCGTGGCTCCAGGAATATGTTTTAAAAGGTAATATAACATAACAAAGTGTGTTTGTCCTAGAAATGTGAGATTGCATAAAAATTTGAATGTTAAACAGTTTAGGTCATCATATTTAACAAAACAGATATAAAACCTGCAACATCTTTGTGGTTAAATGCACAAAAATATTTGACAAAGTTTAACATCCATTCTCAATTCAAATTCTCAACAAATTGGAAACAAACAAACAAACAAACAAATAAGACCACTCAATTTTCTTGGAAAATTTGGAAGATGTACTGTTCTGTACTAGAAACTTGGAATTCCGAGGAGAAAGGTTGCAAATTCTAAGCTTCCCTGAGTGGCCTCTGTGAACTGAAGTTCTCTAAAGAAGTTGCTGTGTATTGGAGACTGCAGACTCTTTGTCGTTAGTTTACTAGCCTTTTGTAATTATGGAGAAATGGAAAGCTGCAAATCAAGAGCCAAAGTTATCTGTACTCTTGGAATAGACATTTTCTATCAGCTTCTCTATTTGGTGTAATATCCCAACTCCTACCAGCACTAAAGTTAAGAAGGACATACTATCTCAGACAGAGCTGTGTAGGAAATCCCCATGTCAGGCTGTAGTTGCCTACCTGAGGACATAGCCATATAATAGTCAAGGCCATAATTTATGACTTTCTTTTGTTCTGTGACTATAAAAGCTCATGTTAAAGTTTGATGTGTTGGTATTATGCCCGTAATCCCAGAAACCGTAAGGTAGAGGCAGGAGAATTAAGATCTTAAGGCCATCCTCAGCAACACAACAGGTCAGTCTGGGTTATCTGAGACTCTGTCTCAAAACCCAAAATATCATGTAACCTTGTCCCCAGTACACCTGGTGTCTCAAGATAACTTGACTCCATGTTCTGGGTCATGGATACTCATATTTTCAATAAACTGCTATGTTCTTTAAAATGAGCTGTTATTTTATATTAACAGATTCTATGAATTAAATTCAATGTTTCTGTTGTGCCTCCTCCTCACCATCCCCATGACTTATCTCAACTCTAAGGAAATGAATTTAGTTTTTGTTCCATGGGATGATTTAGATTGAGAAACAGTTCTAAGTTATCCAGTCATAAAAGGTAATAAGAATTTACATAGCAACTTGGAGTCACTTCTTCCAGCAAGGAAAATATTATATCTTTGTTCTATTTAAGGAAAGAATCACAGATTGCTGATTCTTGGGGAAGCCCAGATGAAAGGAATCTGCACCCCAGACACAAGCCTCAGAATTCTCAAGCCTCATTAGACGGACAAGTGGTTCTGATGATCACCAGATTTCAGAACCTCTGGTGCTGGCTATTAAAAGAAGAAAATGTAAGTTTAAAATGTGTGAAAAGGAACTCACCTGAGTAGGCACCACTTTCCATGTTCCTCTTCCAAGCCTGTGTGCTTTGTGCTCCCCTTGTTTGCCTCTTCCGATGCTGGAGTCTCACGTATGCTCGGCAACAACCCTGTGATGGAGACACGTTCCAAAAAATTGTCTAACCCGACTCCAAACTTCCTCTTTACTAGGTAGGATCAAGTTTTGGAATTAAATTTTTATTTTGCTTGGTTTCAGTATGAACAAGATACAGTTTCTCTAGTCTTAAATATAAAGCTCTAAAACAATATTTAGACATGGACTTGGGATCTTTTTGTCTTACTGTCCAGTCAGGCAACACCAACAAGATCCATGACTCTGTGCTGCAATTCCATGCAAAATGAGATCAGATGTAGACATAGTGTCACAAAGCAGTGCGGTTTTCTAGGTGTGCTGGTACATTCCCAGTAATCCCAGAACTTCAGAAATAGAGGTAGGAAGACCAAAATTAAGGTAAACCTAGTTATATATTAAGTTGAAGGCCAACACGGGCTATAATAAGATCCTGTCTGAACAGTCAAACAAATAACCCCCAAAGAAAAGGTACTGATGCTGCACTGAGAGCTCTGAAAATGGCATCTTGGCCTGACTCTTTTGTTGCATTCACAGGGGTCTCTGGTTTCCAGATGAGTCCACATTATGCCGAAATTTACCTAAATGTGTTAGGTCAATGCTACAACTTCTTTTTGGACAGTGGTGAAGAGAATTGGTTCTAGTGTGAAGAACCTGAAACATTGTACCTGGTTTTTCATTCCTTGTGAATGAATGAACGAATGAATGAATAATAAATAAATAAATAAATGCGTAAAAAAATAAATAAATAGAAAGAATACCCAGACTCTCAGTTGGGTTGTTTATGAGTTCAAACCTCCAGATTTCAATCAATTGAATTTGCTGTCTGATTGAAGAAAGTCTTAGCTCTCAATTTCAGTATCAGGGATTGCTAGTGATTTACAATCACTTCTGTATAGCACAGTATGCAGTGCAAACACACCATTTCCCACTTTTATGACAAGAAGAGGAAAGGGTCCCTGACGTCTTTTCACTTCTCCCTGAGCATTCTCGCTCTTGCTCTCTAAAGAGTTCCCCTACCTATCCTGCATCTGCTTTCCAATTTCTGTTACTGTGGTTGCCTGTTTTCCTGATCTCTAACACAAATACCAGGACCTCTTATCTTCCTTTTAGGCATCTTCTCGGAAGCTACCAAAATCTGCAGGTTACCTGCCATGTTGTTTTTCCTTTCAAATACAAAATTGTTTTCAACTTTCCTTAAGTTCTTTTATCTACAAGACTAAGAACCAGCAAAAGAGTATTTGTATTCTCTGCTAACACTGCCTCTATCTCCTACATGCTGGTATTATAGATAATGACACTGTCTTAGGGTTATCTTGCTGTGATGAAACACCATGACCAAAAGCAAATTGGGAGGGAAAGGCTTACACTTTGGCATTGCTATTCATCTCCAAAGAAAGTCAAGACAAGAATTAAAACACACAACCTCTCTCTCACACACACAATCTCTCATACATATACATACACAGTCACACAACACTCACACACACTCACAATCACACACACAATCTCTCTCTCTCACACACAATCTCACACACATACAATTTCTCATACATATTCATATACAGTCGCACATTCACTCACAAACACACGATCACACACAACACTCACTCACATACACTCACAATCACACCCACTTACACACACAATCATACACACAGTCATACATAATCACAGACACAATCTCTCTCACACATACAATCTCTCATACACCCCCACACACACCCACACAACACCCACACACACACACACACATACACACACACACACACACACACACACACACACATACACACTGACCATAGCTTATAAAGAAAAGGTGAAGGGGCGAGGTCGATTGGTAATTAATGATCCGCCAGACTAGCTTAATACAAAAGATACAGCTTTAATAAACAGAAGGAAAACTTACACCAGAATCCCAACGGTCCGTCCAGAACGCAGGAGCCAAGCGAGAGCGGGAGGGGAAGCGCACCTGCCAGGTTTATAGGTAAATTTTTGCCTTAGGGTAACACGCCCCACGGACAGAATGTGATTGGCTAAACTCCCCTATCAAAAAGGGACATACACGTCAAACTAAAGAATATGAGAAACTAGAAGGGAGATGGAATAAAAGGGACTTTTCTTACTCTGTATATTCTTGTATTGGGGGATTCTTTTTACAATAGTATGTATTCATTTAATCCCTATGTAAGAAAATTAAAAGCAGAAAGAAATCCATCCACACCTAGTAGAAATATAAAAATGATCGTTATCTAAAAACAGCAGTTTTTCAAAAAGTTAAACAAGGTCATTGTAGGTCCCAGTTTCTCCATTGTTTTTTTAGCCAAGAAAGAAACACGTGTCCACACAAAGACCTGAACAGAATGCCAGATATATAGTGAGATCTGTCTCAAAAACAAAACATAAATGGTAAAAAATAAAAAGAAGTCGGACAACAAAAGAATAAACATTATATATTTCAATTAATAGAAACTGAACTATAATAGAAAGAAATCAATGGTTGAACAGACACAGAAGTCAGGAGAGGTTGGAGCACAGTGAGAGTGATACATATTTAATATAGAAAAGTTTGAACTAATATGAGGACAAATGAAAATAAAAGACTACTTACTTTCTTGAAAAGGCAGTTGCTCACAGTGCCTGTAAATGTCCCTATTCAGGATTCCCTCCCCCGCCCCGAACCTGTTGTGTTAGTTTGTCTATCTGCTACCTGAAAGAATCACCCCAAGGGACGGAAATCAAATGAGAAGATTTGAAGGTTAGTGTTGTTCAGATTGCTTTAGAAGACATTCTAAAACAGGGTAGGGACCTGGAGGCAGAAGTTGATGCAGAGACCTTGAGGGGTGCTGCTTACTGGCTTGATTCCTATGATTTGCTCAGCCTACTTTCTAATAGAACCCAGGATTCCAGCCCAGGGATGGCACCAGCCACAAAGGGCTAAGTCCTTTCCCATCAATCAGTAATTAAGACAATGTCCTACGGGCCTGCCTATCTCCAGATTTTATGGAGGCATTTTCTCAACTGAGGTTCCTTCTTCTTAGATAACTTAGCTTGTGTAAAGATGAAATAAAACTAGACAGCAAAGCTACCTGTTGGACTTATGGCAAAGTTTGTATAAAAATTATAGCCAACATTTTATTTTTTTCAGTTCTCATTATATGCCAGGCACACTATAGCTATTCTTCTTTAAAATTTATTTATTTTTATTTTATGTGCACTGATGTTTTGCCTACATGTATATCTGTGTGAGGGTGTCAGATCTTGGAGTTACAAACAATTGTTAGCTGCCATGTGGGCCTGGGAATTGAATCCAGGTCCTCTGTTAGAACAGCCAGTGCTCTTAAGTGTTGAGCAATCTCTCCACCCCTTAGAGTAAACTATTCTTTTTTTAAAAATATATTTATTTATTTATTTAGTATACAATATTCTGTCTGTGTGTATGTCTGCAGACCAGAAGAGAGCACCAGACCTGATTACAGATGGTTGTGAGCCACCATGTGGTTGCTGGGAATTGAACTCAGGACCTTTGGAAGAGCAGGCAATGCTCTTAACCACTGAGCCATCTCTCCAGCCCCAGAGTAAACTATTCTTTTAGCCTATTCTAGTCTATACTTTCCATGACCTTTCCAAACAGCTACACTATTCTTGAAGTTGTCTTACTCCCCCCTCCCTTCTTCCCTCCCTACCTCCTTCCTTCCCCACTCTCTGTGTGCATCTTTATTGCATAGGACTGTGGGTGACCCATATCTTCAAGAACTCAACACAAATGTGGAGAGTAAAAAAATCCCACAGCAAAATTGACATAACCTTCCTAGCTCTACTGCCCATATTCCCAAATATTGTTTATAATTTTTTTACATTTAAAGGGAAATATAATATAGATATAAATAATTTACATTGGTATGGATTTTGCTTTAGTGATATAAATTTAAGGTCAATTTTGATATATGTATATATATATATATATATATTTCTGCTCTTGATTATGGTATTATGATTGTGTAGTTCATTTAAAATGTAAAATGTAATTAAAAATATAGCTTGTTAATAAATAATCATCAATAATAGTCAAGCTTGTAGTCTATCGGCGAATCAATCCCACACCAGTTATGAGTTATGTTTTAAGGGGTTATTTATTTTGGGGGGTAAAACTTACATACACCATAAACCGTCAGGAAGGGAGCCTAGTCGCAGGAGCCGGGAGCAGGAGCCAGGAGCAAGCACCGGAACCAAGAGCCGGAACCAAGAGGGCCTGATCCGGATCTGCTTCTCTTTTTAAAAGAGAAATACACCACGCCCCAGAGGGCTGGTATTTCAGCAGCTATTGGCTGATGGAGCGGAAGTCGCTCCCCGCTGCACTGTGGGCTCGTATTTCAGCGACTATTGGTTGAGGCAGCGGAAGTTACTCCCACAACACCTCCCACTTTTGTTTAAGTAAGAGAGTTCTAAGCCTACTACGAAATTATATACAGTAAGTACAAACCTACACAATTATATACAATAAATACAAATATCCTATTCTAACTAGCTTAAGTCTTGTATAAGAAATAACTTGGCCACGTCATGAAAGGAAAGTAACTACGTTTATATAATCTTCAATCCCATCAAAGATCTGAGAAGGGAAATAATGTTACCTGAGTAATTAGGAAGTGCAATCAAACTTCCAGAACATGTAACAAATTACATAGACAACTGGCTACCTGGGCAAACACCCAAAATCACGTTTGCAGCGTTGAAGCAACCAACTTTGGCTAAGGCCTAACGTAACCGACATACCATTTTCAAAGGCAAGGAACTTTTCAAAACTATCTTATCCTGTCTTGGCAGGATATGACAGTCCTGTTTTATCCATTTACGGATACTCTGTAACTCTGTCAGTAGTTGAGGTATGGGCATTTCTTTACCCAAAGGCCAGTTCTGCCAAGAAGAAAGGCTCCAGGTGGAGTGTCTTTGGTGCTCAACATTCTCTCGGGAATAGATCAGTGTTGCCAGGAGCGATTGTGTCTCCCTACCACAGAACTCTGAGTTAGATTAAAGGCCATTTTTTACAGCTCTTTGAAGAGGTTGAAGATTATCTATCTATACTGAATATAATGTCTATGTATCTAAAGAACCTGATTAGTCTAATTATAAATGACAAACTTAGATGACTATTGATCTATATTATTCTCAATATCTATCTAACTTAAAGACTGAAATAGTAAACAACTGTGCAATAAATGGGGACAATATGACCTCCAAATATAAACAATGTGCAAGTATACATTGCAATATGGTAAATATATATATCAATACATAAACAATATATAAGTATCTTAATCAGAGGTAGAAGTGTACAATGCAATATGGTAAAATATACATATATCAATACAATATATATATGTAAATACATAAAAATGCTTTAAACAGAGGTAGAAGCATGCATGCATAAAATAGTCAACATAATTTAAGTTTGTATCAATATATAAGAATCAATACCAATATATTTGTCTAAAAACAATAACTCACAAGTACAAAGCTATTATCCCATAATCCAATTATCCCTCTTTTTTTTTAAGGATTCCTGCGCTTATAAAATTCCTCCCCCAACCCTCAACCCTATACTAATTATAACCAACCCCTAAATGATGTCCCTAAACCCAAGGACAAACTTTACTGGGAGAGGGGACGTCGTTCTCTAGAATTACTTCCAGCTGTCATGGGGGCGACGTTCTTTCTGGGGGATCCTGTGAAAGCAAAATGATGGTTAAATTTCAAGATCAATGTCTTTTAAAATTGCAAATAGTCTCTGAGTATTTTGTGGAGGACTGGCCAGAATGTTGTACAAGATGTGCATCATTTCAGCTAACCACGTTGGAATCGTCTTGTGCAGCTGGT